TATTTTGCCAAATACGATCGAATCGGACAGTCACAAATGGTGGTCTCACCAGATACTGACTGGTTTTATGATCCATGCCCCTACCTTTTTTTAAAGGTATCTGTGACCAACAGATGCATATCTGTATTCCCAGTCATGTGACATCCATCGATTAGGGCCTATTTAATTTATTTCAATTGACTGATTTCCTTATGAACTGTGACTCAGTAAAATATTTTAAGTTCTTGTGTTTATATATTTTTTCTGTATAATTTATTTAACCATTGCCATGCATCTGTTCACAGATAATTACCGAGAAGGTTCAGATTCCCTTGGCTGAGGTCTAGATTGGCTCATTACAATCTGAGCAGTATGCCTCTATCAGGGTGTACCATAGACTGCTTTCCAGGTTCTTTATCTTTGGTTATCTATCATTGTCATGCAAAACATAATTGAGGGTACCCCAACATGCCTGCATTCATTGTGATGGATCTCTCTGTTTTGTTGTGATAGTTTGAAATGAGGGAGATTATAAAAGGCAGGTTTGTGTGTTGTGCACACGTCTCCAATATAGAAGCCTGGGCCAACTTCAACGAGCGCCTCTTTGTCACCGATAGACTGAGATAATTGATCCAGGGAGAGCGACAAGGTCTACTGTTGTCAAATAGGGTTGGGGCTCTCAAAAATCTGAGGGGAACACACATGCCCCTGCCTGGATTCTAGGAAAACAATGTTTTGTGTTGCTAGGAAGAAAACGTCCCAGAGGTGAAATCTAATTGAGCGCCCCTCCATTCTGGGCTCTGAGTTCTGCCCCAATTCATCTGGCAGTGAGTCAAAACATCTATTGTCTTTAGCCCACTTTAAAACTTCTGAATTGGTCCAGGCATCACATTGGACATCACACACACAGCTATGTCTTACTATACTTGTGAGGACTTTTTGGGGACCAACAATTGATTCCCATTCAAAAACCTATTTTCCCTTACCCTAACCTTAACCACTAAATCCTAATTCTAAACCTAACCCCTAAGCCTAAAATAGCCTTTTTACAAGTGAGGACCGACAAATGAATTTCAGTTGGTTTACTGTTCTTGTGATGACTTCTGGCACTATAGTAAAACCTGTACACACACAGCAGACAATACAGTGCATTCGGAAAGTATTCAGACCCCTTGACTTTTTCCATATTTTGTTACGTTACAGCCTTATTCTAAAATTGATTAAATTGTTTTTCCCCCTCATCAATCTACACACAATACCCATAATGACAAAGCAGAAACAGGTTTTTAGATTTTTTTTCAAATAAGTTATTTGTCACATGCCCCCGAATACAACAGGTGTAGACCTTACAGTGAAATGCTTACTTACAAGTGCTTAACCAACAATGCAGTTTTAAGAAAAATATGTGTTAAGTAAACAATAGATAAGTAAAAAATGAAAGCAGTAAAATAACAGTAGCGAGACTATATACAGAGGGTATCGTTACAGAGTCTATGTGCGGGGGCACCGGTTATTACATTTACATAAGTATACAGACCCTTTACTCAGTACTTTGTTGAAGCAACTTTGGCAGCGATTACAGCCTTGAGTCTTCTTGGGTATGACGCTACAAGCTTGGCACACCTGTATTTGGGGAGTTTCTCCCATTCTTCTCTACAGATCCTCTCAAGCTCTGTCAGGTTGGATGGGGAGCGTCGCTGCACAGCTATTTTCAGGTCTCTCCAGAGATGTTAGATCGGGTTCAAGTCCGGGCTCTGGCTGGGCCATTCAAGGACATTCAGAGACTTGTCCCGAAGCCACTCTTACGTTGTCTTGGCTGTGTGCTTAGGGTCGTTGTCCTGTTGGAAGGTGAACCTTTGCCCCAGTCTGAGGTCCTGAGCGCTCTGGAGCAGGCTTTCATCAAGGATATCTCTGTACTTTGCTCCGTTCATCTTTCCCTCGATCCTGACTCGTCTCCCAGTCCCTGCCGCTGAAAAACATCCCCACAGCATGATGCTGCCACCACAATGTTTTACCGTAGGGATGGTGCCAGGTTTCCTCCAGACGTGACGCTTGGCATTCAGGCCAAAGAGTTCAATCTTGGTTTCATCAGACCAGAGCATCTTGTTTCTCATTGTCTGAGAGTCTTTAGGTGCCTTTTGGCAAACTCCAAGCGGGCTGTCATGTGCCTTTTACTGAGGAGTGGCAGCCGTCTGGCCACTCTACCATAAAGGCCTGATTGGTGGAGTGCTGCGGAGTTGGTTGTCCTGAAAGGTTCTCCCATCTCCACAGAGGAACGCTGGAGCTCTGTCAGAGTGACCATCTGATTCTTGGTCTCCTCCCTGACCAAGGCCCTTCACCCACGATTGCTCAGTTTGGCCAGGCAGCCAGCTCTAGGAAGAGTCTTGGTGGTTCCAAACTTCTTCCATTTAAGAATGCTGGAAGCCACTGCGTTCTTGGGAACGTTCAATGCGGCAGAAATGTTTTGGTACCCTTCCCCAGATATGTGCCTCGACACAATCCTGTCTCGGAGCTCTACGGACAGTTACTTTGACCTCATGGCTTGGTTTTTGCTCTGACATGCACTGTCAACTGTGGGACCTTGTCCGTAGGGAATGGGTCTGAATACTTTCCGAATGCACTGTATGCATGAAAGTCTCATTGCTACCAGTTCCACTACCCCTTCTCTCCCAGCGATTAATCAGCAAGGGTATTATTATTTAAGTACACTCCAAATCCTCCAATGCTAAATTCCAGGCAAAAGTCACTAGAAGGCTCTGCCTCACTGAAATAGACTTGCTTGATCATTGGAGGACTGAACTTAAAATTGAAATGTTATTTCTTTATTTTTCCTGGTTGTTGGTTTATGGTTGTGCACTGGAAAAAGTTCAGTTTCATTCGTTGTCTTTCTTTAAAACATGTATTTTATTGTTATATTACCATGATGATTTATCATGATATTATGACAGAAAGAAACTTGTGATTATTTTGTTTTTAATGGGGTAGTATCAGGCTTCAGTACAGAGAATATCATCCTGAGAGAGAAACACACAGCAGCCATCGTTGTAATCCTCCGCTCCCATCACATCTTTCTACTCCTCCACCCCTCCCCTCCCTTTATGATGTGCGTCCCAAAATATTCAACTTTTTATCTATGAGTATTTAATTATTAAATTGTATGTATGTATCCGCCCTCCTGTAGCTCAGTTGGTAGAGCATGGCGCTTGCAATGCCAGGCTTGTGGGTTCGTTTCCCACGGGGGGCCAGTATGAAAAATGTATGCACTCACTGAACTGTAAGTCGCTCTGGATAAGAGCGTCTGCTAAATGACTAAAATGTAAATGTAAATGGCAGTGTTTATTTAGCTGTTGTCTTGAATGGTCTGGCCATGAATCAGTGATTGGTGTAATACACTGCTTATTATACATCTAGCCCTTGGCACAGAAAAAACTGTTCAACCATGCAAATTAAAGCCAAACGCTTAGTTGGAATCGACAGACTAATATTCAATAGAGGTTTTAATGTAATAAAACTGTAATGGAAAACCCATCAATGCTCAAGCATTGATAGCTCTGGAGGAACAGCAGTCCATTGTTAAATAGTTTCTAAATACCATGGTCTTTTACAACCTTCACATGGGAGCTGTGACCTATTGGCAATTTTTGAAGTTTGTGTATCTGTTATTATAAAGCAGAACATGCGTTATGAGCGCATGCCATTCTATTCCACGAAGAAATGCATAGAACCTTTACTGAGGGTAAAACATCCACCCTATAGACAATCAGGGACACCGTTTATGGCAACCACATTCAGGCCCTAGGACTTCTATAGGGAGTACCCTGCCTGTCTGCTACAGCGGGATGAGGTGTGGGGTGGGTGATGAAATCACTGGCATTTGCTCTCGATCACTGGCATAGATGTTGGGGGAAAGTGTGTGTCAAGTGCTTTGCTGCACGGTGGCAGGGGGGACATGCTTTTCAAAAGAGGCAGAAAAGAGTGGTTAACACTGACCAGATGGGTATCTACCATGTCAACATATCTTCATTCCATCCAGGGCCAGGCACCACACTGTACTTCTCTCTTTCTACTCAAGCAAAAAATCTGTTTTGGTTTACACTGGCGGTGATGTCATGCCTCAGGTATGGGATAATGGCAAGGATCAAAGACCAAGAGGAGAAGGGTTGGGTCATCTTTCCCTCCCTACTTTCTGCTGCAGTAACATCCCGCTCATAATCAGTCCGGAGCATTGACTGAAACTCAGCCACTGTGACCGCACGTTAGCCTGTGAGTGAGCTGAAGACGTTTAGCGGTGGAGGAGTGTGAGGTCTACTTCCCCTGCTGAATATCTTTGCTGGTGTCTGTGGGCTCTGCGTCTTTATGGTTTGATAAATAGCAGCTTGTGTTATTGCCATAACATTCAGCAGATAAGAGCAAGCTAGGGGAACTGGGACATAGTCTGGGAAGCTTGTATATCTGTGCTCTTCTGCTCCCAGACTGTTTTAACATCTTTAATAATTAACTAATAAACAAACCAACTATTGTCATGTTCCCTTCTCAAGGCCAGTGAACTCTGTGAAACCTTGAGACTCAGCGAACCCCAGTGTTAGGCTAAACAGAAACACAAAAACAAGTGAACTGCTTTCATTATTGTGGACACAGTGCACCTAACCAAATCACTGTTAGATAACATGTTCTCCTGATCTTCCTTGTATTGATTTCTATTATTTCCCCATCCACATGTTTTTACTACCTTTATCCCATAGTTAATTCTGGACTGTGCCAACAGGGTGTGCTGCTCCCTCTCTATAACTGACATCAGACCAACCACCTGCTTGTCAAATGGTCCTTGTCATTACATGCCAAATATGTTATGATAGCAACAAGAGTCAACAAAACAGCCTTGATGATATAATTGTTGTTGAGTTCCAGTGATCTCTGTTCTAAGGGGTAAACAACATGTAATGAATATCTGAATCATGTTGGTTGGTTCGTTAGGGAAATTACAAAAGCTGTTCTATATCGATGGCCTCCTTCCTGATTAGCGTGAGAGCAAGCGTCCACCGGGGGGGTGGTTTGGGGGCGCCGACAGCAGCCTTATCAGATACTTGTCCTATGGCGGTGCTGTGACCTGTGGTGGGTGGGCGGGATGGCGGCGCTGTGGTTGGCGGGATGGCGGCGCTGTGACCTGTGGCGGCCGGGTGGGATGGCATCTCTGTGACCTGTGGTGGCCAGGTGTGACGGCAGTGCTGTGACCTGTGGTGGCCAGGTGTGACGGCAGCGCTGTGACCTGTGGTGGCCAGGTGTGACGGCAGCGCTGTGACCTGTGGTGGCCAGGTGTGACGGCAGCGCTGTGACCTGTGTTCCGCCTGGTGCCCGCCGCTGTACTGCTTCCACCCACTCGCAGCCTTATCCACATTCACAGGCAAATAACCAATCATTCCCACCAAAAACAAATGGGATTTGTCCCAAATGGCACCCTGTTCCCTATATAGTGCACTACTTCATCAGGCTCCGTAGTGCACTATGTAGGAAATAGGGTGCAATTTGGAATTCAGCCATGGGCTGCCTTAGCACTTCACCTGACAGACCTTAACCAAAAAGCAGAGTAGTTAGGTTTGCGGGTCTTGTCCAGTAGCTAAAGGATTTTAGGTCTGACCTGTGCTTGGCCACATTGGCTGGTGTTCAACTTGTTATCTCAAGTATGTTATTTTTCCAACATGTTGATCCTTTAATGTAACATGTTGGGATGAATGGCATGTGTATTCCCATTAAAGTTGGCAGCATTTGTTGTGCTGCCATCTCGCAACCTCCCTCACGCCGGCCAGCCCACCCCTCACCCTCCCCGCTGCCCAGTGAGCGACAGATCAGATCAGTGGGGGGGTGGATGCAGTGTGTTATAACAATGGGGCACCCCCTTTTAGGCCAGTCTACCTCCCTCCCCGCAACATTCCACACAGGACCACCAAGACCCACACACGGGACCACCAAGACCCACACACGGGGTCCCTGGAGCTGGGAACCACCACAACAAAGAGAGGGAGAGAGGCCCAGAGTGACTTACTGAGGCACACAGACCATGACCTTAATCGAAGACTCATGTGTCTCTGCAAGTTTGGCTCGTTGCTCTGTAGTTTTGTTCTAGTGATACTGAGAGAGTTTGTATACGGCCATATAATCTGAATTGTATTTCTATGGTTATGGGCCCACGCCTCTTTCTGAGGAGAGCTGTGAGATCTGGGTTTGTGGCTTTCCACACTTTTGCTTGACGGGGAGCGCCACCTCAAAATCCTTGTTAACACGTCCTGTTTGCATGCTGTTAAGTCGGCAGTCTCGCTCTTTCCCACCTCGCTCCGGCTGACATATCACTTCATGTTTCCCTGACTCTCTCCCGTAACACTCAGCTCATAGGAGCTGTTCTAACAAATCCAGAGGAGTTTTGTTTCATTCTCCGTCCTGCTGCCTTAGTGAATCTCCCTCAGTCTCTTCCTTGTCTCCGTAATGGTTTATTAGTCTTTCCTGCTCCTGTACTTTCCTCTCCTCCATACCCTGCCGTACTTAGGCTACTTGTTCTCCCTCCCTCTGTACCCTCCCTCCCTCTGTTCTCTACCCTCCCTCTGTTCTCTACCCTCCCTCTGTTCTCTACCCTCCCTCTGTTCCTACCCTCCCTCTGTTCTCTACCCTCCCTCTGTTCCTACCCTCCCTCTGTTCTCTAACCTCCCTCTGTTCTCTACTACCCTTTGTTCCTACCCTCCCTTGTTTCTCCCTCCATCTAGTCTACTTTCACCCTCCCTCTGTCCTTCCTCCCTCTGTTCTACCCTCCCTCTGTTCTCTTCCTCTTTCTCTACCCTCCCTCTGTTCCTACCCTCCTCTGTTCTCTACCCTCCCTCTGTTCTCTACCTCGCCTCTGTTCTCTACCTCCCTCTGTGCTCTACCCTCCCTCTGTTCTCTACCCTCCCTCCACCATCTACTCCTCAGGGGTTCTTTGTGTGGAAGGCTTCCAGATGATTTTCATGCCAAAACAGACCGCTGCTGTCGTTTTCACACACACTTCTCCCCCAGGCTTTGCTGTCATGCCTCAATATGAGTTGTCGTTTGGTATTGTCACAGTCGGATCTGCTGCTCCTCCGCCAAGGCTTTTTACAGCCGTTGTTATGTTAGCCATTTTCCATAGTGCCACTTCTTTCACGGCTGAAATTCCTTTTGTGTTTTGTTGTTCCCTTGATATCTGAGCCGTGGTGTGTCTTTTTGTGTTGGGATCACTCAGTGGTGGTGTCACTCAGCCAGCTGTGAGGAGTGGGAAGGACTTCAGGCTCTGATCCCAAACTCTGAGGATGGTGACTGACTATAGCCCCCCCCCCCCCCCCCCAGACGGACATGGCTGTGCCTCAGACAGTGAGGTCATACAGTGATCTACAAAAGTATTTGGACAGCGATATTTTCATCCATATCGGGGGAACTGTTTAGAAATAACAGCACTTTTTGTACATTGTCCCCACATTTTAGGAGACCAACAGTATTGAGGCAAATTCACTAATGTGTATTAAAGTAGTCAAAAGTGAAGTATTTGGTCCTCTGTAGCTCAGCTGGTAGAGCACGGCGCTTGTAACGCCAAGGTAGTGGGTTCGATCCCCGGGACCACCCATACACAAAAATGTATGCACGCATGACTAAGTCACTTTGGATAAAAGCGTCTGCTAAATGGCTTATTATTATTATTATTATTATTATTATTATTATTATTATTATTATTATTATGTTCATAGCACACAATGACTACATCAAGCATGTGACTCTACACATTTGTTGGATGCATTTGCTGTTTGTTTTGGTTGTTTCAGATAATTTTTTGCCCAATAGAAATGAATGGTAAATGTGTCATTTTTGCAGTCTCTGTTGTAAATAAGAATATAATGTTTCTAAACACTTCTACATTAATGTGGATGCTACCATGATTACACATAATCCTGAATGAATCGTGAATAATGATGAGTGAGAAAGTTAGACGCACAAATATACCCCCAAGACATGCTAACCTCTCACCATTACAATATCAAATTGTATTTGTCACATGCGCCGAATACAACAGGTGTAGACCTTGCAGTGAAATCTTACTTACAAGCCCTTAACCAACAATGCAGTTTTAAGAAAGAATACCTAAAAGAAATAAAAGTAAAAAATAATTAAAGCGCAGCAGTAAAATAACAATACCGCATAAGACTGTAGCAGCAACATTATGTACAAAATAAGTTATGAACAATGCAAAAAAACAAACAAAATAGCACGATCCCCTCCGGCGCCATTGTATCCACAGGCGCAGGGGAGGTTAGCATTTTTTTTGGGCGGGGGGGTGGCTGTATTTGTGCGTTTTAACTTCTTCACTCATCATTATTCACGAGTCATTCAGGATTATCCGAAACCGTGGTAGCATCCACATGAATGTAGATGAGTTTTAAAACATATTTTATTCGTATTTACAATAAGTGAATCCAAAATGACACGACATAATTTACCATTCATTTCTATTTGGCAAAAAATGATCTGAAACCCAATCAAAACAAACAAGCAAATGCATCCAATAAATGTGTGGAGTCACAAGCTTAATGTAGTCATTGCGTGCTATGAATTTGGGACCAAATAATACTTTTTACTACTTCAATACACAAAGTGAATTTGTCTCAATACTATTGGTCTCCTAAAATGTGGGGACTATGTACAAAAAGTGCTGTAATTTCTAAACAGTTCACCCGATATGGATGACAATACCCTCAAATTAAGGCTGACAGTCTGCACTTTAACCTCATAGTCATAGTATCATTTCAAATCCAAAGTGCTGGAGTACAGAGCCAAAACAACAAAATGTGTCCCTGTACTTTTGGAGCTCACTGTGTGGGTTAGGTGGTATACTGTATACAGGGGGATTGATTCCTATGAAATGTTCTACAAATAGGGCACTGTATTATAGGCTACTTCACTGTCAGGTAGCTATGACCGATCATTTTGGGTCGAAGTTTGGTTGATCAGTAGAAAACAATTAGAATGGAAAAAGCCTATTTTAAAACCACTTACATTTCATTTGTAGCCGTCCTAGGGTCCAACACTACCCATAAATCGTATGTGGACTTCAGATTATTCAGAAACAGAATACAGTCAAATAGTGTCATACAGTCAAATTGTGATATAATATTTTGGCCAAATTGCCCAACCCTAATGTGAGCGCTAGGGAGAGACCAAGACATGAAGCACCATACAGGAACTATCAGTCAAGATTTCTGGATTGTTATGAAGATGTACTGGCAACGATCATGAGGATGATTACGACATCGTCTTGTATTTGCCAGAGGCCTGTGTGGTTGGGGAGCAGGATGAGTGAAGGCCTGAAGCTAGGGACTCGCCTGCGTGTTTGGGCTGGAACCCCAGTGCTGGGTCCAGGCCAGATGAGCTGTAATCCCTGCTAATTACTCCCAAGGCCTGCATCAAGACTCCCACCGATGAGGCTCCCACTAACACTTAGCTCAGTTTTCCAAAGTATAGTTAGCCTAATAGGTCACCTAATGACCTAATCCCTCACGCCGCTCCATGCTTTTGAATATATAATTAACTAATTATCTGAGAATTGGGGGGGGAAATAAGCCGCGGTCCTCTGCTTTTGCTTTAAATATGTTTTATAATTTCCAGCCAAGCTGTAAGTGGGCCTCTGTCTTAGCTTTTTCACATAGCTTTGTGAATTTGACTGACGAGGTCATCAAAACCAAATTTAAAACATGAACAAACCGTCGGCAGAAATCCTGCTGGCCGAGGCGCAGGATTTCAATTAGAATAAAAGGCCCTTCAAAGGCTCCAATGCTTTTAAAATAAAGGCTTGAAAAACTACAAATAATTTGGTCGGTAAGTTTGAGGGTGGCAGTTCTCCCTGAAAGAAAAACAAGGCTTTGTGAGGAAACTGGAGACGGGACAGAAACCATGTTACATTGTTGGAAAGACCCATCTCATAGTCGCAGTGATTTATTGACACATCCACTCCATATCATTTGGAATGGGACGGAGTTAGTTGGTCATGACTAAAGCCCAATAGTCCCCTGTAGCTCAGTTGGTAGAGCATGACGCTTGCAACGCCAGGGCTGTGGGTTCGTTTCCCACGGGGGGCCAGTATGAAAATGTATGCACTCACTAACTGTAAGTCACTCTGGATAAGAGCGTCTGCTAAATGACTAAAATGTCAACCATTTTGCCTTCAGGTTGAGTATTTCTTCCCACAGCGCTGTCTGGTGTCAGTTTCTTAAAGCCCAACAGGTATATCAGAATCATTGTTGCCCTTTTGTAGCTTTGAGGGCCCAGAAATCTGATCTTGCACCTGACCGCATTCAGCCTGGAGGGCTTTTCCCGGGCGGCCGCAGCAGCCAGTCCTGTTCCTGTCCCAACATCTGGTGGATCTCAATTCAGCTTCTTTTGGACGTCTGTTATAAACATTGATGGGCTGTTTATACCTGGGCCCGTTTTCATCCTTTACTGACAAGACTGGAATGTATTGTTTGTGTGTTCACATTTTTAAACCTTTCAAATGCTTCTTCAACTGACAGACAGCGATGTTTGTTGGGGGGTGAAAATGACTTGCCATGCACTGAAAACGTGTGTGTACACTCAGTGTAGGCTTGGGAGGTATCCAGATTGTCATACCTTTATACCAACCTTGTGCCATCCCTGGATATCCGGTAATACCGGCACTGAACACACATTTACATTTACGTCATTTAGCAGACGCTCTTATCCAGAGCGACTTACAAATTGGTGCATTCACCTTATAGCCAGTGGGATAACCACTTTACAATTTTTATTTTTTTTTTGGGGGTGGGGGGGGGTAGAAGGATTACTTTATCCTATCCCAGGTATTCCTTAAAGAGGTGGGGTTTCAAATGTCTCCGGAAGGTGGTGAGTGACTCCGCTGTCCTGGCGTCGTGAGGGAGCTTGTTCCACCATTGGGGTGCCAGAGCAGCGAACAAGGGCCGTTATTTTCAAACCCCACTGAGCCTCTGTAATCCGAAGGTTATCAATGCTAACAAGTACATGTAAAACCCCATAGTCAATGTTAACTAAATGCTAACGAGCGCATTTCACACAGTCTCTGACAAACTATTTGCAGGACAGACATCCCAGCAAAATGCTACTCAGTTTGCTGCACGCACAAAACCAACATTTTATTTTTGACAGTATTGAAAAACCATCCTGTGGCTATTTCCAAATACCACAGTATATACGGTATACCGCCCAAGCCTAACTCATTGGCCACTTTATTAGGTACACCACCCTGTTCACGAAAAATGGTTAGCTCCTACAGACGTTGTCAGGTGGCCGTGGCTGTGTTTCTGCTGCACTCATTTTGCTGTGGTGCTGCACCACAATGAAGATCATTTTGAAGATGCTATAACATTCCACTTGTACTTTTCCTCTGCAAACTAAACAAGTAATTAATTTAAAAAATCCAACAACCCCAGAGTGGAATAGTTGATCTATTTACCTAGTCGGCTTGTTGTGTTCTATGCTAGATAAATATTCCTCTCGTGGCGCATTCATGTTATAAGTGCCCTACAGAGGGAAACATGCATTCTGACAAGCAGTCAATGCACAACAATTATTGCAATTGTGAAAACAGCAGTTTTAATGGCTTTTGTTAAAATGAGGGGAATCCCAGCTTTCCACTCCTACTTTATTTATTTCTCAACTCCTAAATATGCGCGAACTGCGTCGTTTTAAACCCGGGGATTTTAGCAGAAGCATGGTTAAGCACGTTACTGCTCCACAATTTGCATAGGGGAGAGTGGGGCTACATGTAACACCGGTCAATTGTAGGGTGACTTGGGGTACAATGCCTCTCTACCTCAATCATTTATTTGGATTGACTTAAAAAATTGTAATGTGACACACATTTTTTGTTGAGCAAGAGTAGTGGAAACCAGGGGAAGTGTTGGGTGGAAAATTGTGAAATGAAGTGGTTTCTGTGAGAAGTACAGGCAGGGGGCTTTTAACCCCGGGTGGCGAGTTACCCTAACAGGCAGGGGGCTTTTAACCCCGGGTGGCGAGTTACCCTAACAGGCAGGGGGCTTTTAACCCCGGGTGGCGAGTTACCCTAACAGGCAGGGGGCTTTTTACCCCGGGTGGCGAGTTACCCTTACAGGCAGGGGGCTTTTTACCCCGGGTGGCGAGTTACCCTTACAGGCAGGGGGCTTTTTACCCCGGGTGGCCAGTTACCCTAACAGGCAGGGGGCTTTTTACCCCAGGTTGCGACTTACCCTAACAGCTTTTTGGGACATAACATGTATCAATATGATAATAACTACTTAAAAGATCACATTTGAGATCTGGCTAATGATTAGCCCAATAGGGTAAATGCAGATAGGCAACCCCATGCTTCAGCCTATTTATTTGCACTTTGCTGCATCAGCTGGGCTAAAGGTGATAATGTTTGTTGCTAATAGCATACCTGATAATATGGACCATGCATAGGCTCTATACTGTACATGGCCCAATATGTTAATCATTTAAATAAATCATTTTACCAATGTGTTATTGGGCAAATTTCTGGAGGTGGAACCTCTATTTTAGATGGCGTCAGAATACTTATTTTAATTCATTTTGGAGTGGAATGTCCTTTTAAAAAGTCACCAGAACTGAGCTCCTCAGTCCTTCAACATACAAATTATAGGAGGGACCCCCTTCCGTGACCTTTCCCCCCCACTGCAGAGGAAACACTCCCGTGGCTTGCTACAGTGAGGGGAAAAAAGTATTTGATCCCCTGCTGATTTTGTCCGTTTGCCCACTGACAAAGAAATGATCAGTCTATAATTTTAATGGTAGGTTTATTTGAACAGTGAGAGACAGAATAATAACAAAAAAATCAAGAAAGACGCATGTAAAAAATGTTATATATCGATTTGCATTTTAATGAGGGAAATGAGTATTTGACCCCCTCTCAATCAGAAAGATTTCTGGCTCCCAGGTGTCTTTTATACAGGTAACGAGCTGAGATTAGGAGCACACTCTTAAAGGGAGTGCTCCTAATCTCAGTTTGTTACCTCTATAAAAGACACCTGTCCACAGAAGCAATCAATCAATCAGATTCCAAACTCTCCACCATGGCCAAGACCAAAGAGCTCTCCAAGGATGTCAGGGACAAGATTGTAGACCTACACAAGGCTGGAATGGTCTACAAGACCATCGCCAAGCAGCTTGGTGAGAAGGTGACAACAGTTGGTGCGATTATTCGCAAATGAAAGAAACACAAAACACCTGTCAATCTCCCTCGGCCTGGGGCTCCATGCAAGATCTCACCTCATGGAGTTGCAATGATCACGAGAACGGTGAGGGATCAGCCCAGAACTACACGGGAGGATCTTGTCAATGATCTCAAGGCAGCTGGGACCATAGTCACCAAGAAAACAATTGGTAACACACTACGCCGTGAAGGACTGATCCTGCAGCGCCCGCAAGGTCCCGCTGCTCAAGAAAGCACATATACAGGCCCGTCTGAAGTTTGCCAATGAACATCTGAATGATTCAGAAGAGAACTGGGTAAGAGTGTTGTGGTCAGATCAGACCAAAATCGAGCTCTTTGGCAAAACTCAACTCGCCGTGTTTGGAGGAGGAGGAATGCTGCCTATGACCCCAAGAACACCATTCCCACTGTCAAACATGGAGGTGGAAACATTATGCTTTGGGGGTGTTTTTCCACTAAGGGGACAGGACTTCACCGTATCAAAGGGACGATGGACGGGGCCATGTACCGTCAAATCTTGGGTGAGAACCTCCTTCCCTCAGCCAGGGCATTGAAAATGGGTCGTGGATGGGTATTCCAGCATGACAATGACCCAAAACACACGGCCAAGGCAACAAAGGAGTGCCTCAAGAAGAAGCACATTAAGTTCCTGGAGTGGCCTAGCCAGTCTCCAGACCTTAATCCCATAGAAAATCTGTGGAGGGAGCTGAAGGTTTGAGTTGCCAAACGTCAGCCTCGAAACCTTAATGACTTGGAGAAGATCTGCAAAGAGGAGTGGGAAAAAATCCCTCCCGAGATGTGTGCAAACCTGGTGGCCAACTACAAGAAACATCTGACCTCTGTGATTGGCAACAAGGGTTTTTCCACCAAGTACTATGTCATGTTTTGCAGAGGGGTCAAATACTTATTTCCCTAATTTAAAATGCAAATCAATTTATAACACTTTTGACATGCTTTTTTCTGGATTTTTGTTATTCTGTCTCTCACTGTTCAAATAAACCTACCATTAAAATTATAGACTGATCATGTCTTTGTCAGTGGGAAAACGTACTAAATCAGCAGGGGATCAAATACTTTTTTCCCTCACTGTATATAAAACAGGTAGACAGGCATTCAGTTACTGTTAGATTGAACATTAGAATGGGCAAAACGAGTGACCTAAGCGACTTTGAGCGTGGCATGATCGTCGGTGCCAGGCACGCACCCGTTTGTGTCTCAGAAACGGCCAGCCTCCTGGGCTTTTCACTCACGACAGTGTCGAGGGTTTACCGAGAATGGTGCGACAAACAAAGAAACATCCAGTCAGCGGCAGTCCTGTGGGCAAAAGCGGCTCGTTGATTAGAGGGGTCGAAGGAGAATGGCAAGAATCGTGCAAGCTAACTGGCGGGCCCCAAACAGGCAAATAATAGCGCAGTACAACAGTGGTATGCAGAACTGCATCTCGGAACACACAACTCGTCGGCCCTTGTCACGGATGGGCTATTGCCCCAGACTACCACAACGGGTTCCACTCCTATCACCTGAGAACAAGAAGCGGCTCCAGTGGCAAGTGATCACCAACACTGGGCAATTGAGTAGTGGGAAAAACAATGCCTGGTCCGACGAAGCCTGGTTCCTGTTGTGTCATGCTGATGGCAGCCAATATTTGGTGTAAGCAGCATGAATCCATGGCCCCATCCTGCCTGGTGTCAACGGTACAGGCTGGTGGCTGTGGTGTAATGGTGTGGGGAATGTTTTCCTGGCACATGTTAGGTCCCTTGATGCCCCAAAGAATTCAGGCTGTTCTGGAGGCAAAGAGGGGTCTGACCCGGTACTAGATTGGTGTACTTAATAAACTGGCCACTGAATGTATGTCTGTGTGTACTGTAGAAACTGTTAAGTATAATATGGCCTATAAAGTTCAGATTTCTCTGGTTTTCTCAGTGTAAACTTTTTTTGAGGACTCATTTGTACGCTCATGGACAGTAGTCAGTCAGTGTGTTTCTGACAGCAGTACAACATGGTGTTTGTGTAAGGCTCCCATGGTAAAGCACTTGGCTTTATGTAAAGAAGGTTTTTCTCCTCTTTAAAGTCTGAGTCAGTGGAAAGATGGAGGGACTAGTCAGGAAGGTATTTTGTGCCCTGTTTTTCCTCCTCCACCTCTCTCCTCCCTTGGGATAATAAAGCTGTGCTGTAACTTGTCCTCTGCGTTTGTCTGAAGAGCCTCTACCTGTCTGCAAATGTGGGGAGATAACGTGTACACACACACACACACTCTCTCTTTTAGCACAAGCCCGGGCGGTAAATGTGGAATCCCCGGCAGAGAGGCACTAGATCAGAGAGAGAACTCAACAGATACCTGGAAGAAAGACTGACGGGACAGACTGTTGAATTAACTCTTAGTTTAGCATGAAGTGTGTGTCCTCCCACCCCCCCAAGGATACAATATGTTTGTTGCTTTACTAGGTGCTGGGGGTTCTGACCCTTCAGTTTAAACTGATTTCATTGCTTGGCTCACCCCTTATTGAGGTCAGTGTCTTTGGCTCTCCTGCTAGTGGTAGGGCTGGGTGATATATCGAATAACTAAAATGTATGTTTTTACGCTATATTCCAAATGCCTGTATCGCAAGAATCAAGTTTTTATTTTTCGTTTTTATGAATGTGCATGTCCGTTTGTTCTCATGTTGTCTTTTTGGTCACGTCTCCTTCGGTCCTTCTGTGCTGTGTTCACCTTCTCATTTACACCAGAGATCTGTATATAATGACGAGATGCTCATGTGCTTGAGAGATTGTTTATTAGACCTGTGTTCATTTTCTATAATGCCTTCTACAAGAAGTTAGTCATTATTAGTGAATGTGCATTATGCATGGTTCAGGTTAAATCTCTAACAAAAAAGGGCATTTTCAGACTTGAAAGCCAGATCAGTGATTATTGCAAAAAAGCAGGTTAAACTGTTGATAAAATAATTAAAGATGCACTATGCAGAAATCGCTCCGCCATTTCCTGTTGCTAAAATCTGAATTGTTCGCCTAATTTAAGTTTGACTTAACAAGCAAGTATAGTGTAGAGAATCATTGTACCATCTACAGTGAGGGAAAAAAGTATTTGATCCCCTGCTGCTTTTGTACGTTTGCCCACTGACAAAGACATGATCAGTCTATAATTTTAATGGTAGCTTTATTTGAACATTGAGAGACAGAATAACAACAAAAAAATCTAGAAAAACGCATGTAAAAAATGTTATAAATTGATTTGCATTTTAATGAGGGAAATAAGTATTTGACCCCTCTGCAAAACATGACTTAGTACATGGTGGCAAAACCCTTGTTGGCAATCAGAGGTCAGACGTTTCTTGTAGTTGGCCACCAGGTTTGCACACATCTCAGGAGGGATTTTCTTCCACTCCTCTTTGCAGATCTTTTCCAAGTCATTAAGGTTTCGAGGCTGACGTTTGGCAACTCGAACCTTCAGCTCCCTTCACAGATTTTCTATGGGATTAAGGTCTGGAGACTGGCTAGGCCACTCCAGGACCTTAATGTGCTTCTTCTTGAGCCACTCCTTTGTTGCCTTGGCCGTGTGTTTTGGGTCATTGTCATGCTGGAATACCCATCCACGACCCATTTTCAATGCCCTGGCTGAGGGAAGGAGGTTCTCACCCAAGATTTGACGGTACATGGCCCGTCCATCGTCCCTTTGATGCGGTGAAGTTGTCCTGTCCCCTTAGCAGAAAAACACCCCCAAAGCATAATGTTTCCACCTCCATGTTTGATGGTGGGGATGGTGTTCTTGGGGTCATAGGCAGCATTCCTCCTCCTCCAAACACGGCGAGTTGAGTTTATGCCAAAGAGCTCCATTTTGGTCTCATCTGACCACAACACTTTCACCCAGTTCTCCTCCGAATCATTCAAATGTTCATTGGCAAACTTCAGACGGCCCTGTATATGTGCTTTCTTGAGCAGGTGGACCTTGCGGGCGCTGCAGGATTTCAGTCCTTCACGGCGTAGTGTGTTACCAATTGTTTCCTTGGTGACTATGGTCCCAGCTGCCTTCAGATCATTGACAAGATCCTCCCATGTAGTTCTGGGCTGATTCCTCACCGTTCTCATGATCATTGCAACTCCATGAGGTGAGATCTTGCATGGAGCCCCAGGCCGAGGGAGATTGACAGTTCTTTTGTGTTTCTTCCATTTGTGAATAATTGCACCAACTGTTGTCACCTTCTCACCAAGCTGCTTGGCGATGGTCTTGTAGCCCATTCCAGCCTTGTGTAGGTCTACAATCTTGTCCCAGACATCCTTGGAGAGCTCTTTGGTCTTGGTCATGGTGGAGAGTTTGGAATCTGATTTGATTGATTGCTTCTGTGGACAGGTGTCTTTTATACAGGTAACAAGCTGAGATTTGGATCACTCCCTTTAAGAGTGTGCTCCTAATCTCAGCTCGTTACCTGTATAAAAGACACCTGGGAGCCAGAAATCTTTCTGATTGAGAGGGTGTCAAATACTTATTTCCCTCATTAAAATGCAAATCATTTTTGACATGCGTTAATCTGGATTTATTTTGTTATTCTGTCTCTCACTGTTCAAATAAACCTACCATTACAATTATAGACTGATCATTTCTTTGTCAGTGGGCAAACGTACAAAATCAGCAGGGGATCAAATACTTTTTTCCTTCACTGTAAACCACTGTGAAATATATTCCCAGCTGTTTGAAGCTGGTGTAAAACACACAAAAAACTTAAGAACTGGAAGCATAGAAATAGTGCACATAGAGCAGATCTACCGCTTCTTAGACTTGCGTTCATTGAGAATCAGGTCTATAACACCCATTTCTATGTGAATTTGGTTGGATCACCCCAAAAAGTGACACTTTGCAGCTTTAAATTATTAGTGGGTCTTATGGTTGTGGAAGGCTAATATTTAGTCTAGGTATAATTTCACATGCCCTGAATTCATTCGATTTTTATTTTATTTTATTTTTGTCATTTAGCAGACGCTCTTATCCAGAGCGACTTACATGAACAATTAGGGTTAAGTGCCTTGCTCAAGGGCACATCGGCAGATTTTTCACCTAGTCGGCTCGGGGATTAGAACCAGCAACCTTTCGGTTACTGGCACAATGCTCTTAACCACTAAGCTACCTGCCGCCCACATTATAGAATAAGGCAAAGGGTGGCTACTTTGAAGAATCTCAAATATAAAATATATTTTGATTTGTTTAACACTTTTTTTGGATACTACATGATTCCATATGTGTTATTTCATAGTTTTGATGTCTTCACTATTATTCTACAATGTAGAAAATAGTAAAAATAAAGAAAAACCCTGGAATGAGTAGGTGTGTCCAAACTTTGACTGGTACTGTGTATATTTATCTCGTACATGCACTGAATACAACAGGTGTAGACTTACTTATAAGCCCTTAACCAACAATGCAGTGAAGTAAAATAAGTGTTAAAGTATTTACTAAAATAAACAGAAGTAAATATTATTTGAATTATTTTAAATATAAGAAAATATACATAACTAAAGAGCAACAATAAAATAACAGTAACGAGGCTATATACAGGGGGTACCAGTCAATGTATCTCGTGAATCGCCCATAAATTTGAAAAAATGTAGATGATTTTTAGGCCTTACCACCCAGCCCTAGCTATTAACTCTACTACTAAAGACTACTATAGCTACTATAATTTAATACCATTGTTAACATTGGCCAATATCTAATTACCAAGTGAGGTTAAAATCCACTATGAATCCTGCCGCTCTGCTCCTGCTGAATATTATTTTGTCTGATTCAATAACGATTCGATTCTCCTTGCACTCGTTCCCTCCATTTTATTTTTTATTTCTCTTTATTCCATGTAATGGAACACTCCTTCACGTCTCTCCTTACCTCCCTGCTAATACCTCATTTTGGTTAGTGCTCTCCCTTTTTTTCTCATTCTCCCTTCTCTCACTCCTTTGGCCTCCCCATTTTGTACATAATAGAGGCCATAGTGAGGGTTAGTATTTGGGGAAGTTTAATTGCTACCACCTGAACCTTGCTCTGCTCAGTTGAACCAACACCGTCCAGTCAGTCCAGGGTTGTTTTCCAAATGGCACCCTATCCCCTATATAGTGCACTACTTTTGACCAGTGCCCACGGTAGTGTACTATATAGGGGATAAGGTGCCATTTAGAAGTTAGTCCAGCTCTCCTGAAGTTCTGCTCTGCTGGCTCTAAACTAACCCCTCAGTCTTTAGGTAAATGTGTTTCAAGATGCATAGTAATGCACTAATCTGGAGCTAAATTTCCTCAGGTCATGAAGATGCTCCCTATATACTAGTTACCCATTACCAGATATTGATACAATTCTAAACATGGGACAAAGACACAAGTCTTGATATTTTCCTTCTAGTTACTTATAATAGTTTGATGTGACTGCGAGTAGTTCCTGTGGTAAGTTTTGGTAGCTAGTCGACTTTCTATTTAAAAGTATCTGTGAGGAAATGCAGGAGCTAGTTAAATCATTGACAAAGAGCTGACCTGGGATGTAGTATAGACTGAGAGCTGACCTGGGAAGAAGTGGCCGGCAGGGAGCTGACCTGGGAAGAAGTGGCCGGCAGGGAGCTTTTGTGTTGGGAGACTAAGGTGGAGCTTGGGAGGGCTGAGCTGGGGGGGGGAAGAGGGAAACAGAGCGAGAGGCCAGGGCCATGTTGTGGAATCTCCCCAGGGCCTTCTGGGTAAATGTTCATGGATGACAGCATTTTGGAATGTTCACAAATGGAGAGTTTTAATTGGCCAGAGGCCTCGACTGGTTTAGCAATCAGAGATGGACTCTCTCCGGTGGCAGGGGGTTAGGATTTATGGGTCTCGGTGTGTTTTTGTTTGTTTGTGTGAGTTAGAATGGATTCATTTACATTTACCGGTTGTTTTTCTTGACCTTGGGCAGTACTTCAACAATTTAATATATTAGCCTTATAGTCTTTTCCATAGCCTTAAGAAATGCCATGGCTGTTTGCAGTCCTGTTTTAACATGTTACAAGCCTGTTGCTGTGTCAGTGCCGTGTTGTGGTGCTGTTAAACAGAAAATATACTAGTAATGTTTGTAATGAGGTTCCACCCTGGCCTCTGTACATATGTCTCTCTCTTATCGTTGTAATGCCACCCGATAAGCAAATCTTTGGTCTTTTGACAGCTGTGTTTTGGAAGAGATTTTAATCCCTGATTTATTTAAGGAAACAATTTTGCTCCAGCGCTTTCCAAGATCTTGCGGCTGGCTGATTTAACTGTAAAATATCTCCCCCTCCAAATTGAATTCTCCTTAACCAAAACTCCTGATCCCATAAGGGAATGTTGTGCATTCTTCTAAATGGATTTAAGAGGGTCAGTCAAAGCACATGTTACAGGCAAGTTAGCTGAGGAACACTCAATTCTGTTTTCTTATATCAAGGCGGAGTTGAGTTTTGATAACTGGTCGTGCGATTTGCTAGCAACAACATTGAGTCACCATCAGTCGATACTTGTAAAAATGTACATTCTGAAAATGCCCATATACCTCTGTTTGTCCTGTACAACCGCGGTCCTTCTGCCGTGTGCTGAAATTCATACTTTAGTAAAAACGTTTAGAATACAACCACAGACTTTTTCCTCATTTGTGTTGCTAAACTCAACGCAAATGCGCTTGTGCCAATTGAATCTCGGCTTACTTAGTACGTCAAGGCCGCTACATCTCCAGTTGATCAACACAAATTAGGAAAAAGTTGGTTGTATTCGATAAGTTTTTACCAAACGTATGAATTTCAGCACCCCGTGGAAGGGCCACAAGCATCGAGTGATGGTGACGCAATGTTGTTGCTAGCAAATCGCGCGACCAGTTATCAATACTCACCCTTGATATAAGAGAACGGAGTTGAGCGTTCCTCAGCTACAGGCAAGGCTAACATTTTTCACTTTACTACTCTACTCCCACCAGTGTTGAAGGGTTTCACTTGGCATGGTTGTTGGACACACATCCTATTAAATTAGTTAGTGATGTTACTATATGGAATTCTGTGGTGTTGGAGCTGAGCTGTTTTCCTGTCACTTTTAGCACAAAGGCAGGCAGCCATTACCGTATGGTGATGCATACTAGGCCTCGTGAGTAGCTGTGACCGATGTCTGGTCAGAGATGACCCGTCATTGCAGTTAATCATTGCTATTGTATGAGTTAGTTTGTAGCGACATCTGGAAATGTTGTTCTAATTGGAGCAGTTTTTTCATTTTTAGGAGCACTGCTATGAAACGTGACCTTAAAAACAGTAACCATGAAAATGTTAATTAAATAAATCAATGAAACTCCCTGTTGAACCCACATGAATCATTATAGTATGTGTGTTTTTATAGCCCACTACCAAGACATACAACTCATTTCTCCATCAATGTATATTTAGATACCAACCTGTGATGCTAATTTGAGTATATTGGTCTCTGACTCAGATGATAATGACTGGCCACAGCAGAGGGACCTGTTGAGTACGGAGTTCCTATCAGGGATGACCAGAGCCGGGCTGCATCCCAAATGGCACCCTATTCCCTTTATAGTGTGTCTGGCTATCCCTACGGGCCCTGGTCAAAAGTAGTGCACTATAAAGGGAATAGGATACCATTTGGAATGTAGCCTAGGCCTCCAACGGAAGAGTCAAGAGTTCTGAGTTGGCTGGGGTGTCTGTGTGCTGAAAGCGGCATCCTGCCGGCCGACCGCCTGCGAGGGTCAGCATGTCTGCGCGGCGTGGGATATCCTGCTTGTTAGCACACCTTCCTCTAGTGAGAGGGGATTTCTGTCTGGCCAATCATTTGCTTGCTGACGCCAGCTGCATGTTGGGCATTATTACTGCCAGGGTCACAAAGGAGAGGGGAAAAGTGGATGGTCACCTAGGATGAAATTAATATTTGGTGTCAAAGACCCCCTCAGATAACCATTGAACAATGATCTGAAATGTCTGACACTTATCATTAGGTGTCTGAGACACTTGTGGAAAATGTTTGAATTTAGTCAATTTGAAACATAGTTGAGAAATAGTCTAAATAGAGAAGCACTAATCTAACCTTGTAACATTTTATCCTGTCAGCTGAGATGTTCAATGACTGTTGCCTTTAGTCATAAAGAGAAAATGGAGAAAGTGAAAACTGTGTAGTAATGACATGCCCCCTCAGTGCTGCCCTCCATTTTGTTCAGAAACTCTTGGCTAAAGCCGGGATCCCCTGTCACTCCAATGAAGCTGTTCTTTTGAAAATTGGACCTGAAAAGCATGATTGGGTTGGCAAAAGTGCTGTAAACCTGTCATGCCAGTATTTAGAAAAGCACTGAAGTGAAGGAAAAGGTAATACCCTAGCTTATCTCTATATGAGAAGTTGAAGCTCTAATAATGGTTTCCGCTTACAGAGAAACCTTGTTGAACATGTTACAGTGATGACCTCGCTATGTGTGTCTGTGTGAGGGAGTGTGTGTGCTCTCTTACCCTCACATGAAAATGGGTGTATTAATGGTTGTCCAGCTGTTTCCGTATGAGTGGGCCAGTGGTTCATGTTCCTGATCCTAGAAACCTGAACGGCCCTGTCCATAGGCATCAGCAGCATAGCACACTCTATTCAGTCGTGGTGTAGTTTAAGCCTGATCTACTGCAGCAAATTAGTTTTCATTTTAGTTGATGAATTTTGTCCAATCATAAGCATGAATGGCTTTGCATAATATAATGCAATCCTCTCATTGGCACAATTAACGTCTTTCAGTTGCGCGGTGTGTTTGAGTGGATCTGCCCGGCTCTCCCCCACACACAGCTCCTGGGCATGAGTAAACTAAGTCTAAAACTATATTGAAAATAGCTGCTAAATTGAACACTGCTGTCTTTCTCTGTGGTCACTGGAGTTCAGCAGGGTACGGACGGAAATAATCCTCTGGGGAATTTGACTTCTGACTCATAGTGTGACGTGTGTGGTTGTTAATGTTTGTGTATGTGGGTGGGTAGTGTGATTCGTGTGTATGCCTGTTAATGTGTATTTTGTATGTGGATCTATGGTTGTTGGTGTGTATCGGTTGTTAATGTGTATTTGTATGTGGATCTATGGTTGTTGGTGTGTGGGGTGTGTATCGGTTGTTAGTGTGTATTTGTATGTGGATCTATGGTTGTTGGTGTGTGTGTGTGTCTTTTAAGGCGATTTGAGTGGTGGATGTGCTGGCTGGCGGACAGAGGGGTCAGAGGACAGGACCTCTCTCTCAGGAGTGGCTGTTAACCTTTGACCCCGCTAGTTAAGCCTGCAGGGTGGTGGTAAGGGTGGAGGTTATCTGCTCTGAAGTCTGTCTGGTCCTGGGCCACATGATGCAGGCCAGGCAGAGGAGAGGGGGTGATGTGGACTCTAATCTGGGTTTTGTCCACAAGGCATTTTCACCTCCCCCACACCACCACCCCTCCTCCTCCTCACCAGAGAACCCAGTGTTCTGTGGGGCAGGCAGGGGAACGTCGTCCTCCTCCTCCAGTGTAAAGGGGCAGGCAGGGGAACGTCAAAGGGAAGGGACTTATTTTATGAGCCGTTTTAAAGAGGTTGGTGGAAACCACAAAGGAGAAGCAGAAAGCAGTGGACTGCTGATGAATGCCATGACACACAGTATCATGTTGTTTATTAGCTGCTCTGTGTTGTTTTGACTGCAGTAAATAACCCTCCATTTTCCTTCTGATTGACAACCTGAACAATGTGCCCGCTCAGTATTTGTTGGGATTCCCAGTTAATTGGGAGATGTTGTATGTAGCCAAACAGACTCAACCCTCCAGCTAAAGCTTGTCCTTGAGGTTGAGCTGACGGTCCACAGACAATATGGGAAACCAACCTTTACTTGGCCGATTTTACTTTCTTCATTCTCGGTTTGGAAGGCACCAGTGTCTTCTAATCGCCTGATTCCAGTTGCAGGTGAAACTCCAAAAACCAGAGAATATTCCAGAAAAATATTAAATCCACTTTTCTTTGCACCGAGTGAGTTCACTCGCCATTTTAGCTACCGGACATCACATTTCCCAACATGTTGAAGACGACAGCACGTCACACAGTGCGACCCATACAACTCAATCAAAGATCTACAGTCGTGGTCAAAAGTTTTGAGAATGACACAAATATTAATTTTCACAAAGTCTGCTGCCTCAGTTTTTATGATGGCAATTTGCATATACTCCAGAATGTTATGAAGAGTGATCAGATTAATTGCAAAGTCCCTCTTTGCCATGAAAATGAACTTAATCCCAAAAACTTTTCCACTGCATTTCAGCCCTGCCACAAAAGAACCATTGACATCATGTCAGTGATTCTCTCGTTAACACAGGTGAGAGTGTTGACGAGGACAAGGCTGGAGATCACTCTGTCATGCTGATTGAGTTAGAATAACAGACTGGAAGCTTTAAAAGGAGGGTGGTGCTTGAAATCATTGTTCTTCCTCTGTTAACCATGGTTACCTGCAAGGAAACACGTGCTGTCATCATTGCTTTGCACAAAAAGGGCTCCACAGGCAAGGATATTGCTGCTAGTAAGATTGCACCTAAATCAACCATTTATCGGATCATCAAGAACTTCAAGGAGAGAGGTTCAATTGTTGTGAATAAGGCTTCAGGACGCCCAAGAAAGTCCAGCAAGCAGCCTGGACCGTCTCCTAAAGTTGATTCAGCTGCGGGATCGGGGCACCACCAGTGCAGAGCTTGCTCAGGAATGGCAGCAGGCAGGTGTGAGTGCATCTGCACGCACAGTGAGGCGAAGACTTTTAGAGGATGGCCTGGTGTCAAGAAGGGCAGCGAGGAAGCCACTTCTCTCAAGGAAAAACATCAGGGACAGACTGATATTTTGCAAAAGGTACAGGGATTGGACTGCTGAGGACTGGGGTAAAGTAATTTTCTCTGAATCCCCTTTCTGATTGTTTGGGGCATCCAGAAAAAAGCTTGTCCGGAGAAGACAAGGTGAGCCCTACCATCAGTCCTGTGTCATGCCAACAGTAAAGCATCCTGAGACCATTCATGTGTGGGGTTGCTTCTCAGCCAAGGGAGTGGGCTCACTCACAATTTTGCCTAAGAACACAGCCATGAATAAAGAATGGTACCAACACATCCTCCAAGAGCAACTTCTCCCAACCATCCAAGAACAGTTTGGTGACGAACAATGCCTTTTCCAGCACGATGGAGCACCTTGCCATATGGCAAAAGTGATAACTAAGTGGCTCGGGGAACAAAACATCGACATTTTGGGTGCATGGCCAGGAAACTCCCCAGACATTAATCCCATTGAGAACTTGTGGTCGATCCTCAAGAGGTGGGTGGACAAACAAAAACCCACAAATTCTGACAAACTCCAAGCATTGATTATGCAAGAATGGGCTGCCATCAGTCAGGATGTGGCCCAGAAGTTAATTGACAGCATGCCAGGGCGGATTGCAGAGGTCTTGAAAAAGAAGGGTCAACACTGCAAATATTGACTCTTTGCATAAACTTAATGTAATTGTCAATAAAAGCCTTTGACACTTATGGAATGCTTGTAATTATACTTCAGTATACCATAGTAACATCTGACAAAAATATCTAAAAACAGTAAAGCAGCAAACTTTGTGAAGACCAATACTTGTCATTCTCAACTTTTGACCACGACTGTACACACATGCGAGGCATTTCTCACTCGTTAAAAAACGTCTATTTAATATATTTCTGAATATTTCCACGTTATCAGAGTTGCACCTGAAACTAGAAACAGGAGTTTTTATGACACCTGTTCCTTCCAAAATTTAGAATTAAGGAAGTATCTCCAAGTAAATCTTTAGTTGACCCTTGCCCCTGACTCCTGACACAACTGTTTTGGAAGACTTTTGCTCACTATTGACTACTTCCTGCTGATGAGAAATACATTTTATTTGTATATTGTGTACATAGACTTGTGGTGAATAAAATGTTTAATGTGGGTTCATACCTTTAGAAACTCTAAACTTTAGGTAGTCCAGTCAAGGATTTCCTATCAAATGACACCCTATTCCCTATAGTGCACTACTTTTGACCAGGACCCATAGGGCTCTGGTCAAAAGTAGTGCACTTTAAAGGGAATATGGTGCCATTTGGGATGCGGCCAAGCTTTCACTTTTTTTTATTTGAACCGTCTACACTGTTTCTGTGCAGGTGTTGGAGAAATTGGCCACCCTACTGTTTTCCCAAAGTATGCATTAACTAATACGATAACTTTTTCGGAGACTTTAGCCCGTGAGCTAACAATGTGACATTTGTACAGACATTCCTGTGAAAGATTGGCCATCTGTTTTATTTGTGTTCTTTGGTTAGACATTTTCCACATGGATAAAGGCCTTTAGATTGTGTCCCTGTACTGCGGGCAGGTGGGCAGGCAGGGAGGGAGGGACGCCTTGGTGGACTACAGGCTGAATCTCTGTTTCACTTAAAGGAGGTGTGTGTGTGTGTGTGCGCGCGCCTGCACTCACTGCTTACTTTGCGCTCTCCAATCATATGGTACAAAGAGCTATGTGTTGACTTGTGATGTGTGAATGTGTTTAGGTAGTGGTTGCCAACTCTCTCTCTCTCTCGCTGTGTGTGTCAGTTGAGCCCGATTTGGGCTTGATCCCAGGAGTGAGGGGTGGAAGGGTTGAGAGAGGGTTAGGGTGGAAGGGTTGAGAGAGGGTTAGGATGGAAGGGTGGGGAGAGGGTTAGGATGGAAGGGTGGGGAGAGGGTTAGGATGGAAGGGTGGGGAGAGGGTTAGGGTTGAGAGAGGGTTAGGGCGGAAGGGTTGAGAGAGGGTTAGGAATGAGAGGGGGTTAGGGTGGGGAGAGGGTTAGTGTGGAAGGGTTGAGAGCGGGTTAGGGTTGAGAGGGTTAGGGGGGAAGGGTGGAGAGAGGGTTAGGGGGGAAGGGTGGAGAGAGGGTTAGGGTGTAAGGGTGGGGAGAGGGTTAGGGTTGAGAGGGTTAGGGTGGAAGGGTTGAGAGAGGGTTAAGGTGGAAGGATTGAGAGAGGGTTAGGGTTGAGAGTGGGTTAGGGCGGAAGGGTTGAGTGGGTTAGGGTGGAGAAAGGGTTAGGGCGGGATGGTTGAGAGAGGGTTAGGGTGGAAGGGTGGGGAGAGGGTTAGGGTGGAAGGGTTGAGAGAGGGTTAGGGTGGAAGGGTGGGGAGAGGGTTAGGGTGGAAGGGTTGAGAGATGGTTAGGGTGGAAGGGTGGGGATAGGGTTAGGGTGGAAGGGTTGAGAGAGGGTTAGGGTGGAAGGGTTGAGAGAGGGTTAGGGTGGAAGGGTGGGGAGTGGGTTAGGGCGGAAGGGTTGAGAGAGGGTTAGGGTGGAAGGGTGGGGAGAGGGTTAGGTGGAAGGGTTGAGAGATGGTTAGGGTGGAAGGGTGGGGATAGGGTTAGGGTGGAAGGGTTGAGAGAGGGTTAGGGTGGAAGGGTTGAGAGAGGGTTAGGGTGGAAGGGTGGGGAGTGGGTTAGGGCGGAAGGGTTGAGAAAGGGTGGATGGGTGGAGAGCGGGTTAGAGTTGACAGGTTTAGAGCGGGTTAGGGTTGATGGATTGTTAGGGTGGAAGGGTGGAGAGAAGGTTAGGGGGGAGACGGTTGATAGAGGGTTAGGATGGAAGGGTTGAGGGTGGGTTAGGGTTGAGAGTGGGTTAGGGAGGAAGGGTTGAGTGTTAGGGTGGAGAAAGGGTTAGGGCGGAATGGTTGAGAGGGTTAGGGTGGAAGGGTTGAGAGAGGGTTAGGATTGAGAGAGGGTTAGGATTGAGAGAGGGTTAGGATTGAGAGAGGGTTAGGGCGGAACGGTTGAGAGAGGGTTACATTTACATTTTACATTTTAAGTAAGGGGGGTAGAAGGATTACTTTATCCTATCCCAGGTATTCCTTAAAGAGGTGGGGTTTCAAGTGTCTCCGGAAGGTGGTGAGTGACTCCGGAGAGGGTTAGGGTTGAGAGAGGGTTAGGGTGGAAGGGTGGGGAGAGGATTAGGGTGGAAGGGTTGCGAGACGGTTAGGGTTGAGAGTGGGTTAGGGCGGAAGGGTTGAGAAAGGGTTAGGGTGGAGAGAGGGTTAGGGTTGACAGGTTGAGAGCGGGTTAGGGTTGATGGATTGTTAGGGTGGAAGGGTGGAGAGAGGGTTAGGATGGAAGGGTTGAGAGAGGGTTAGGGTGGAGACGGTTGATAGAGGGTTAGGATGGAAGGGTTGAGGATGGGTTAGGGTTGAGAGTGGGTTAGGGCGGAAGGGTTGAGAGTGGGTTAGGGCGGAAGGATTGATAGCAGGTTAGGGTTGAAAGGTTGTTAGGGTGGAAGGGTTAAGAGGGTGGTGCTTCCCTGTCTCTCTGGTCGTGTTGTGGGACGGATTTTGTAATAGACATTTTAACTAGCAAGGTAGAAGCCTTCATATAGAAGTTATGTACTTCAACCAAAGGATTGTGACAACATTCTCTCTCCACCATGTGAATCATGTAAGGTGGAAAAACATTTGGTGTTTGTGGTGGTCTTACACAGTGTGCACTATGCTTGAGTGTAGTGTGTGTGTACTCCTTCACATCAATAGTACTTTAAGTCCACACTGGTCTCTTGGCATACGCAATTCTAACGTGTGTAGCCACTGCTGAGACACACTCTGCTCTAGTGGTGTTACAAAGGTAGTTTAGTCCTCAAATATTTAAGCAATAAGGCCCGTGGGGGTGTGGTATATGGCCGATATACCATGGCTAAGGGCTGTTCTTATGCATGATGCAACGCGGAGTGCCTGGACACATCCCTTAGCCGTGGTACATTGGCCATATATCACAAACTCCCGAGGTGCCTTAGTGCTATTATGAACTGGTTACCAACGTAATTAGAGCAGTAAATGTTTTGTCATACCAATGGTATACGTCTGATATACCACGGCTTTCAGCCAATCAGCATTCAGGGCTCGAACCACCCAGTTTATAAATATCTATATATCACACTGGTGAAGGGATATAGGCTGTGAACATCCACAACTTTATGGTCAGTGAGTGGGTACATTTGCAACTCTAGTTTTATATACTAGGCCTGATTGCACTGTTAACCTTTTGTTACAGCAGTAGTCTTTTTTAAATTGTCAGTTACTATTAAAATCTAGTGAAACGTTGATTTGATTTCCAAGCTCATGTCTGTCCCAAATGGCACACCTTTCCTTAGGCATAGTGCACCGCTTTTTACCACGGCCCTGGTTGAAAGTAGTGCACTATATAGGAAATAGGGTGCCATTGGAGCCGGTGTGTGTGTGTGTAGTGGTGTTATTAACTGTTTGGTAGTGTAGTTGTGCTAGTGACTGTTTGGTAGGGTAGTGGCGCTAGTAACTCTAGTGTGTAGTGGCGCTAGTAACTCTAGTGTGTAGTGGCGCTAGTAACTCTAGTGTGTAGTGGCGCTAGTAACTCTAGTGTGTAGTGGCGCTAGTAACTCTAGTGTGTAGTGGCGCTAGTAACTAGTGTGTAGTGGCACTAGTAACTCTAGTGTGTAGTGGTGCTAGTAACTCTAGTGTGTAGTGGTGCTAATAACTCTAGTGTGTAGTGGCTCTAGTAACTCTAGTGTGTAGTGGCGCTAGTAACTCTAGTGTGTAGTGGCGCTAGTAACTAGTGTGTAGTGGCGCTAGTAACTCTAGTGTGTAGTGGCGCTAGTAACTCTAGTGTGTAGTGGTGCTAGTAACTCTAGTGTGTAGTGGTGCTAGTAACTCTAGTGTGTAGTGGTGCTAGTAACTCTGTTTAGTGTGTAGTGGTGCTAGTAACTCTGTTTGGTAGTGTAGTGGTGCTAGTAACTCTGTTTGGTAGTGTAGTGGTGCTAGTAACTCTGTTTGGTAGTGTAGTGGTGCTAGTAACTCTGTTTGGTAGTGTAGTGGTGCTAGTAACTCTGTTTGGTAGTGTAGTGGTGCTAGTAACTCTGTTTGGTAGTGTAGTGGTGCTAGTAACTCTGTTTGGTAGTGTAGTGGTGCTAGTAACTCTGTTTGGTAGTGTAGTGGTGCTAGTAACTCTGTTTGGTAGTGGTGCTAGTAACTCTGTTTGGTAGTATAGTGGTGCTAGTAACTCTGTTTGGTAGTATAGTGGTGCTAGTAACTCTGTTTGGTAGTGTAGTGGTGCTAGTAGCGCCAGCAGAGTGGCCTGTTCTGCAGACTACCAGGGACAGGGCTAGAGTTGTTGAGCGAGCGGAGGGCTGGTGGGGAAAACCAAACAAGCCGTTGGGCGCCTGGGCGGAGTGAAAGGACCACTGTGTTCTTCCCAAATTCCAACAGCCGCCTTTAAAAAGAAAGAAAAACATAACATTATTGCAGCTGCAACTCTGCATTCAGCCTCTACGCCTCTCCGACCCACCACCACTGCTGCACTACTCCGACCCCTGCGATAAATCGCCCTTGAGTCCACTGTGACCACTCTTTGCCAAACTTCTCAATATTTCTGTACAGCAGAGGGCGTGGGTTAGAAGAGAGAAAGTCTCCGTATGGGGTGTCAGCACTTAGAGATGTCAGGTTGTTAAGCTTGTTTAACATCTGCGCTCGAACATCCCTCCCCGGATCAAGCCGTTCTTTAGCAGTCTCCCTCCTCCCGCCTCCTGTCAGTGTGAATGTTGGTGTGTATTGCTCCCACATGAGTAACAGCTGCAGAAGCTCGCGGTATAACGTCTCGACTGACGGTTGCTGTGAGAGGTCACGTTGAGGAAAATAAACCACCAATGAAACTAGACTTTTCTTTCTCTTTTGGATAGGTGGTTCTCCAGAGTCAGCTTCTGTACCTGCTGCAGGGAGGCCTGCTACACTGCATGTTAAATTATATTATTGGGCTGCCCAATTATGGGCAAGTAGACAATGGGTGGCGCAACCATCACAATGTATTTAATTTAAATTAGATGTCTTTTTTTTTCTTGAACATGATGGTTTGTTTTCTGCTGCGAGAACAAGGCGCCTGATTCACATAACTGACAGAAAACAAAACTAGTTTTTCACGGTGTGTAACTGTGCTGTGTGAACTGTCTTTACGATGGTTGGTCTTGGGTTTGTGTGTCATCTGTAGTGTTGTAGTGTGTATCTGTAGTGTGTATCTGTAGTGTGTATCTGTAGTGTGTATCTGTAGTGTGTATCAGTGTTTTCTCTCCCCCTCTCTGTAGGAACCCATCTGAAGGTGTGTCCCCAGGAATACTCATGCTGTACCTTGGAGATGGAGGAGAAACTGAGCCAGCAGAGCCACTCAGACCTGAAGGCCCCCGTCTCCCAGCTCAGCACCAACCTACAGAGCACCTTCAAACAGAGGCACAGCCACTTTGACCGTAAGGGAGAGATCGAAATGCATGCACACACGCTCTCACACACACACCCCCCTCTACCTTCCTACTGTATCAGTCCATCTATGTCCCACTGCTAGGCAGCATGGCGTCCTGTCCCAGTCCCCAGAGCAGCAGTGCATGTGGAGTGTTGGCTTTGACCGACACTCCCACCTGCCCGTGCACTGGCTGCCTGCAGCAGACACCCATTCTCTGTTGGCCGGTCCACCTGTCTCTCAATGTCTGTCATTGCCCCTCTCTGGCCAATTCCCTCTTGCCCTACGCTCTGGGGAGAAAGAGAGGCATGCATGCTCCCAGACAGACCACACACCCAGCGCCAGTCTTCTTTCCCTTAAAACCCTTCCTGTTCTCGCTCTGTGTGTGTGTGTGTGTGTGTAAAAATATCTGGATCAGGTTTACCGTGATTGCTCTACTGTGTGGAGAGGCGGTGCATGGGAACATGTGACAGTGCTCAGTCACTGAGGAAGGGCAGTGGGACAGTTTGGCCCCTGAGACCTCCTGTCCCCCATCGAACCCCATCACCACTCTGGCTATTGCCTCTGCTGGTTGATGAGGGGCTGTAGATGCAGGCTAGAGGATACCTGGTCGGACACACTTTCATGGACCCACAGTACCAAGCCCTCAAATGAGTTTAGGCTCCATAGTGAGATGGAGTGTTGGGACATAAATGAATATTTCAAGTATGTATTGTACATAAAATCCAGCAGCATACCACCCTGCATCCCACTGCTGGCTTGCCTCTGAAGCTAAGCAGGGTTGGTCCTGGATGTGAGACCAGATGCTGCTGGAAGTGGTGTTGGAGTGCCTGTAGGGGGTACTCTTCCCTCTGGTCTAAGGAGATCCCAATGCCCCAGGGCAGTGAAGGGGACATTGCACTGCACAGGGTGCCGTCTTTCAGATCGGATGTTAAAACGGGTGTCCTGACTCTCTGATCACTAAAGATCCCATGGCACTTATCGTAAGAGTAGGGGTTTGGGTGTTAACCCCGGTGTCCTGGCTAAATTCCCAATCTGGCCACCTAATCAGCCCCAGCTTCCAATTGCTTCTGCCCCCCCCCCCCCCCCCCCCCCCCCCCCCCCCGTAACTCTTCCCCGGGTCGTTGCTGTAAATGAGTGTGTGCGGGATAGTCGGTAACAGGGAGTATGTGTATTGCAGCCAGATGTGAACAAGAATGTGACGTGTCGGAATGTGGTGGCTGCTTTAGCGCTCTCTCTATCTCTCTTTCGGTCTCTCTGTCTCTCTCTCGGTCTGTCTCTCTCTCTCTCTCGGTCAGTCTGTCTCTCTCGATCTGTCTCTCTCTCTCTCTCGGTCGGGCTGTCTGTCTCTCTCTCTCGGTCGGGCTGTCTGTCTCTCTCTCTCTCGGTCGGGCTGTCTGTCTCTCTCTCTCGGTCGGGCTGTCTGTCTCTCTCTCTCGGTCAGGCTGTCTGTCTCTCTCTCTCGGTCGGGCTGTCTGTCTCTCTCGGTCGGGCTGTCTGTCTCTCTCTCTCGGTCGGGCTGTCTCTCTCTCGGTCTGTCTCTCTCTCTCGGTCTGTCTCTCTGTCTCTCTCTCGGTCTGTCTCTCTCTCTCTCTCTCGGTCTGTCTCTCTCTCTCTCTCTCGGTCTGTCTCTCTCTCTCTTCTCGGTCTGTCTCTCTCTCTCTCGGTCTGTCTCTCTCTCTCTCGGTCTGTCTCTCTCTCTCTCTCGGTCTGTCTCTCTCTCTCTCTCTCTCTCGGTCTGTCTCTCTCTCTCTCTCTCGGTCTGTCTCTCTCTCTCTCTCTCTCGGTCTGTCTCTCTCTCTCTCTCGGTCTGTCCTCTCTCTCTCTCTCGGTCTGTCTCTCTCTCTCTCTCTCGGTCTTGTTCTCTCTCTCTCTCTCTCGGTCTGTCTCTCTCCTCTCTCTCTCTCGGTCTGTCTCTCTCTCTCTCTCTCTCGGTCTGTCTCTCTCTCCCCTCTTCTCGGTCTGTCTCTCTCTCTCTCTCTCTCGGTCTGTCTCTCTCTCTCTCTCTCTCGGTCTGTCTCTCTCTCTCTCTCTCGGTCTGTCTCTCTCTCTCTCTCTCTCGGTCTGTCTCTCTCTCTCTCTCTCTCGGTCTGTCTCTCTCTCTCTCTCTCTCGGTCTGTTCTCTCTCGGTCTGTCTCTCTCTCTCTCTCGGTCTGTCTCTCTCTCTCTCGGTCTGTCTCTCTCTCTCTCTCGGTTCTGTCTCTCTCTCTCTCTCTCTCTCGGTTCTGTCTCTTCTCTCTCTCTCTCGGTTCTGTTCTCTCTCTCTCTCTCTCGGTCTGTCTCTCTCTCTCTCTCTCTCGGTCTGTCTCTCTCTCTCTCTCTCTCGGTTTGTCTCTCTCTATCTCTCCTCTCGGTCTGTCTATCTCCGTCTCTCTCTCTCTTCTTCTCCTCTCTCTCGGTCTTTCTTCCTCTTCTCTCGGTCTCTCTCGGTCTGTCTCTCTCTCTCTCGGTCTGTCTCTCTCTCTCTCTCTCGGTCTCTCTCGGTCTATCTCTCTCGGTCTGTCTCTCTCTCTCTCTCTCGGTCTCTCTCGGTCTCTCTCTTCTCGGTCTGTCTCTCTCTCTCTCTCTCTCGGTCTCTCTCTCGGTCTCTCTCGGTCTCTCTGTCTCTCTCTCTCTCTCTCTCTTCTCGGTCTGTCTATCTCGTCTCTTCTCTCTCTCTCGGTCCGGTCGTTCTTCTCTCTCTCTCTCGGTCTCTCTCTCTCTCTCTCTCTCGGTCTCTCTCGGTCTCTCTCTCTCGGTCTGTCTCTTTCTCTCTCTCGGTCTCTCTGTCTCTCTCTCGGTCGGTCTGTCTCTCTCTCTCTCTCTCGGTCGGTCTGTCTGTCTCTCTCTCTCGGTCGGGCGGTCTGTCTCTCTGTCTGTCTCTCTCTCTCTCTCTCGGTCTGTCTCTCTCTCTCTCTCTCGGGTCTGTCTTCTCTCTCTCTCTCTCGGTCTCTCTCGTTCTCTCTCTCTCGGTCTGTCTCTCTCTCTCTCTCGGTCTCTCTCTCGGTCTCTCTCTCTCTCTCTCGGTCTGTCTCTCTCTCTCTCTCGGTCTCTCTCTCGGTCTCTCTCTCTCTCTCTCGGTCGGTCTGTCTCTCTCTCTCTCTCGGTCGGGCTGTCTGTCTCTCTCTCGGTCAGGCGGTCTGTCTCTCTGTCTGTCTCTCTCTCTCTCGGTCTGTCTGTCTCTCTCTCTCTCTCGGTCTGTCTGTCTCTCTCTCTCTCTCTCGGTCTGTCTCTCTCTCTCTCTCTCGGTCTGTCTCTCTTCTCTCGGTCTCTCTCTCGGTCTCTCTGTCTCTCTCTCTCTCTCGGTCGGTCTGTTTTCTCTCTCTCTTCGGTCGGTCTGTCTCTCTCTCTCTCTCTCGGTCGGTCTGTCTCTCTCTCTCTCGGTCGGGCTGTCTGTCTCTCTCTCTCGGTCGGGCTGTGTCTGTCTCTCTCTCTCGGTCAGGCGGTCTGTCTCTCTCTCTCGGTCAGGCGGTCTGTCTCTCTCTCTCGGTCAGGCGGTCTGTCTCTCTCGGTGTCTCTCTCTCTCTCTCGGTCTGTCTCTCTCTATCTCTCGGTCGGGTCTCTCTCGTCGTCTCTCTCTCGGTCTGTCTCTCTCTCCTCTCTCTCTTTCGTCGTTCTTCTCTCTCTCTCTCGGCGTCGTCTCTCTCTCTCTCTCGTCTTTCGACTCTCTCTCTCGGTCTGTCTCTCTCTCTCTCTCGGTCTGTCTCTCTCTCTCTCTCGGTCTGTCTGTCTGTCTGTCTCTCTCGGTCGGTCTGTCTGTCACTGTCTCTCTCTCTCTCTCGGTCTGTCTGTCACTGTCACTGTCTCTCTCTCGGTCTGTCTGTCTCTCTCTCTCGGTCTGTCTCTCTCTCTCTCTCTCTCTCGGTCTGTCTGTCACTGTCTCTCTCTCTCTCTCGGTCTGTCTGTCACTGTCTCTCTCTCTCTCTCGGTCTGTCTGTCACTGTCACTGTCTCTCTCTCGGTCTGTCTGTCTCTCTCTCTCGGTCTGTCTCTCTCTCGGTCTATGTCTGTCTCTCTCTCTCTCTCGGTCTATGTCGGTCAGGTTGCTCTCTCCCTGGATAGGGTGTCCAGCTTAATGCACACATCTTTTGCTAATTTGCATAGTTCATTGTTTAATTCCAGCTTTCACTTCCAGCATTTTAATCAATTTATTTATTTCCTTTACTAATGTGTTATCATGTACACAGTCACATTTATTTTGTCTTAGTATGCCTCTAAGAACGGAAGATTGCAATTTTTTCAAGTCATTACTGAATTATTTAATGTAATCAAACATGAAACCTCTTAAACATTCATGGTAATTCAGAGATGTGTACTCGAGTCACGTGACTTGGACCCGAGTACGTCTTGATTTTGAGGCTTGACTTGGCAAAAAAAACGCCACTCGATTTTGACTTGATCATCTATGACTCGTGACTTAACTTGAACTTGAGTTGTATGACTGGAGAGACTCGATTTGTCATCTCGCGCAGTATGTACAGTGCCTTGCAAAAGTATTCATCCCCCTTGACGTTTTTCCTATTTTGTTGCATTACAACCTGTAATTTAAATGGATTTTTATTTGGATTTCATGTAATGGACATACACAAAATAGTCCAAAATTGGTGAAGTGAAATGAAAACAATTAATTGTTTCAAAAAATTATAAAATATGTATTCACCCCCTTTGCTAAATAAAGTCCACCTGTGTGCAAAGTCCACCTGTGTGCAATCTAAGTGTCACATGATCTCAGTATATATACACCTGTTCTGAAGTCTGCATCACTACTAAGCAAGGGGCACCATGAAGACCAAAGAGCTCTCCAAACAGGTCAGGGACAAAGTAATGGAGAAGTACAGATCAGGGTTGGGTTATAAAAACAATATCCGAAACTTTGAACATCCCACGGAGCACCATTTAAATCCATTATTTAAAAATGGATAGAATATGGCACCACAACAAACCTGCCAAGAGAGGGCCGCCCACCAAAACTCATGGACCAGGCAAGGAGGGCATTAATCAGAGAGGCAACAAAGAGACCAAAGATAACCCTGAAGGAGCTGCAAAGCTCCACAGCGGAGATTGGAGTATCTGTCCATAGGACCACTTTAAGCCGTACACTCCACAGAGCTGGGCTTTACGGAAGAGTGGCCAAAAAAAAGCAATTTCTTAAATAAAATATGCAAAACGTTTGGTGTTTGCCAAAAGGCATGTGGGAGACTCCCCAAACATATGTAAGAAGGTACTCTGGTCAGATGAGACTAAAATTGAGCTTTTTGGCCATCAAGGAAAACGCTATATCTGGCGCAAACCCAACACCTCATCACCCTGAGAACACCATCCCCACAGTGAAGCATGGTGGTGGCAGCATCATGCTGTGGGGATGTTTTTATTCGGCAGGGACTGGGAAAACTGGTCAGAATTGAAGGAATGATGGATGGCGCTAAATACAGGGAAATTCTTGAGGGAAACCTGTTTCAGTCTTCCAGAGATTTGAGACTGGGACGGAGGTTCACCTTCCAGCAGGACAATGACCCTAAGCATACTGCTAAAGCAACACTCGAGTGTTGTCTTGGAATGGCCTAGTCAAAGCCCAGACGTCAATCCAATTGAGAATCTGTGGTATGACTTAAAGATTACTGTACACCAGCGGAACCCATCAAACTTGAAGGAGCTAGAGCAGTTTTGTCTTGAAGAATGGGCAAAAATCCCAGTGGCTAGATGTGCCAAGCTTACAGAGACATACCCCAAGAGACTTGCAGCTGTAATTGCTGCAAAAGGTGGCTCTGCAAAGTATTGACTTTGGGGGGATGAATAGTTATGCACGCCCAAGTTCTGTTTTTCTGTCTTATTTCTTGTTTTGTTTCACAATAAAAAATATTTTGCATCTTCAAAGTGGTAGTAGGCATGTTGTGTAAATCAAATGATACAAACCCCCAAAAAATCAATTTTATTTCCAGGTTGTAAGGCAACAAAATAGGAAAAATGCCAAGGGGGGTGAATACTTTTGTAAGCCAATCTGTCCTTTTATATCGGAGTGCTGCAGGTTCTGTGCATTCTGTTCTGTGTCTTGACCAATCAGTTTCACAGAAATCACAGATTGCGCTGTCCCATCTTGCCGTCTGGGTAAACGAAATGGTCATGTTATGTAGCCTAGTTATAGCCCATTTATTTGTGTTAGGAGAAAATGTGAAAGTGATCAAATTTGGTTTAGGCTATATTCAAACTTGGTCTGGTTACCTTGACCTTTTCAATCCAAAATGATTAACTGAAATTAATCAAACAACACAATACTGATTACGTAAATATACATACTTTTTAATTGCAGTTGCATAGGCCTATACGATGCAAACCTGCATAAAGCAATCTCAGCCCTCTGAGTTCTATTGTCCAATTGCAGTGGTTGTGTTTGTGTAAAGGAAAGTTTTATAATAATTCGTATTAACTAGTACAAGGTTGCTGCAGTTTGACTGGGTTTTCATCCTCCCGAGGACCAGGAGTTTTTCCAGAATTTTTTTAAAACCATGTGACCAGTTTAGAAAATATCTGTATACCTAGGCGGCAGGTAGCCTAGTGGTTAAGAGCGTTCGGCCAGTAACTAAAAGGTCAATGGTTCGAATCCCCAAGCAAGGCACTTAACCCTAATTTCTCCTGTAAGTCGCTCTCGATAAGAGCATCTGCTAAATGACTTCAATGTAAATGTGGTCCCACTCCCATCATTGCCCATATACATAAATAACTTCTTACAACTACTTTTTACAACTAATTAATTAATGTCATACCCTATGAGCTGGTTAAATTACCAGATTAGGAAATGCTCCGGGCCCCAGGGAAAATAATTTGCTGGGACCTGGGGTGCCACTTCTGCATCAGGGCATCATCGGTCCCATAAATCGTTGTATTTGGTTTCAAATACTGGTAGTGGGGGAAAAGGGATGCCGTTTGTAAAACATGTGGGTCCAAAATCACTGATGAATTGCAATGAAATTGGCATAAAACATAACCATTGACATGAGGACTCTAAACCCAAAATAAGGGACTTGTGACTTGACTCGACCTGAGCTTGCCCATTATTGCTTGGGACTTGACTCGAGACTCAAAGATTAAGACTTGTGACTTGCTTAGGACTTGCAAAATTGTGACTTGGTCCCATCTCTGGTAATTCATGGTAACCTCGTAAGCAATTCATTTAGACCCGGCGTTTATTTGAAACAGACGTTTATTTGCTGAAATTGGTGTCATTGCCTGGTTATTAAAAGAGACAGGCGGCTATTTGAGACTCAGCGTTTAATTGAAGTTTTACGGTACCTGAATTTGTCCAATAGAAACTCTTTAGTTGTTCCGTTTTGCAACTCTTTGGACTAATGATTACACCCCAATTCTCACATTGAGACGTCCAGAAGCAGCCGTTCCCTACGGACGCGTCTGCCACAGGAAGTGGCTTGCCACAGGAAGTGGCTGAGGCTCGTTGTATTTACAGTGGCTGGAGATGGTAATGATGGTGGCTAATGGTTCATCTGGAGCTGGACACACACACAGAGACAAACACAGGAAGTGGTAGAGCAGAGTCCTCATGTGCCTGGAGTTAGGAGTCATGGCCAATTAAGTATGGGCCTAGAATAGTTCTCACTCACTCACTCACACACACACACACACACACACACATATATATCTCCCTCTGACCTGGGGTTTGGGTTTGTCCCGTTCTGTCTGTCTGGGGGAGCTAGCTATGTCTGGGATTAAGCCCTTCTGCCCCAGGACACACACATCAAGACCCATACATCTCCAGCACGGCGGTCCTAACAGCAGGAGGGGTGGAAACCCACAAGAAAAGGGAACAATTACTGTGAGAAGGAGGGTTTGGGAGGGATGTCCACTTCTCCTTATGGGAGGAAAGGGGAGGTCGGTCCGCTCCTCTCTTAGGGTGATGGATTGGCCCAACATTAGTGCTTCGTACTTCAGGGACGGGTACCGGGGAAGGGGGCGGGGGAAGAGATTCTTCCAGACCCTCTTTCTGTCTTCTCTAACAAGATTCTTGCTGTCAGGATCTACATTCAGACTCTCACACGAACACACACAGGTTAAGCAGCTATACTTCCTCATATGTCCTTAGTGTTTCCCTAAACACCATGATCCCTTTCCTCTACCCTTTCACCTACATTTTCCTGAACCCATGGCTGAGCGGCAAGCACATTTTTCTTCTGGAAAACCCTAAGGGAGTGTGTGCTGCTCCACTGCCTAGCTGTATGTCATAAACCGTTTTTAACGATGAAGCAAGATGCCTGTGTAATGCTGCTTTCGTACTAGAGGCCATAGCTTCAGCCTGAGAAACCCACTCAACTTTAATCGATCTTTAAAAACTACCAGAAGTTCGAACTAGAAGTGTGTTTTGTGCTACCTTGTGTTACTGACCCAGCTGTACGTCTTTGCCAGCGCAGATCTTTTGGGTGTGAAGTGGTGGTTCATTAGTATGTCTGGATAGGCGGGATGATTGGGCCTGTCCTCCCCTCCCTCATGTCTCCTTTCACTGACTTTAAACTTGTGGCAACTGACATTCCAGAGTGGGGGGTGGTGGGGGTAGAAGGACCTTTTGTTTTAATCTCTGTCAATGGAGCGTGGAGATTGGTGCCCTCTCCCCTGTCTTTGTGTGTGGGGGAGGTGAATGGAAGGGCTGCAGTGTTTCCGGTAGCCTTGGTGACACAGTGGGGATTTGGAGTTAAAAAAGCCCTCAATTTACCCCTCCCCCGCCTCATTTTTTTCTTTTTAGAGTGTCCGTCTGAAGTGGAAGTGACAGCACCGCACTTGCAGTGTGTGTGTGTGTGTGTCCTGGTGCCCGAATTCAGGAGCGTTTGGTGACTCCCTCGGAGAGAGCATGGGAACTTTACATTTCAAAGCCGGGCAGAGGGCACACAGAGAAACTGCAGCGGAACAGAAGTTTTGTGTGTACAAGGAGAAAGAGGAGAGGAGATGCTACAAAGAGAACAGAGTGAAAGGGGGGGTGTATGCTTGCGCGCATGAGAGAGAGAGAGGTGAAGCATTTTGCGGAGAGAGTCTGGAATTCTCATTTTCTTCAGATTAAGAAAGTGGGGGTGGCGGGGGGGTTCGTGGGAGAGGGGTGCTGGATTATTTGGGGGGTGGGGGGGTGTGATGGACATTCCTTAGGATGAAGTAGGTCATTGTTCCCCGTCTCTACTGAAGAGAGCCTTCTGAAGGAACTGACCAACTGAAAGCACTGGAGGGAGAGCGAGAGGGGGACAGGTCCCTATATGGAAAGGGAGGAAGAGGGGTGGGCAGTAATCCTATTGAAAATGCCTCTGAAGGACAGACCAAGAGGAGCAGGGAGAAAGGAAAACGAATGGAATGTGACAACAGAAAAATGCCATTGGTGGTCAGTCTGAAGCGGCTTGATGTGGAGAGACGTTTCTGTTGAATGGCAGTGGGTCTACAGGAAGCAGGCAACCGCCGCTCCCATACTCACTCTCTCTCTATCGCGTTCTCTCTCTCAAACTCTAACTCCTCTCATCCCCCTCTCTTTTCCTCCTTTCCAACTGCTTCTCTTCCCATGGTGTTTTTTTTCCTGCTGAGTGATTTTATGTGCTGTACTGCTGTTGGGACACTGCGCTGTACTGCTCAGAAATGTTGTGAGGGGAAACCAGTACATACAGGACAATGTTAAATGAAATAAATATCCATCTGTTTTGATCATAACCCCTCTCTGCTTTTCAACCCTATTGGCAGCTACAGGAGGACTATGTCCCAAATGGCACCCTATTCCCTATATAGTGCACTATGGGTCAAAAGTAGTGCACTATATAAAACCTTTTTTTTGCCTTTGGTGAACTAACACTCGCACTTTACTATTTCCCCTTACTAGCTCTGACTTTGCTGATAGCTACTTTATTTAGGGAAAATGTACTTTCTATGACTGAGATCTGTGGTTGTCCCACCTAGCCATCTTAAGATGAATGCACTAACTAAGTCGCTCTGGATAAGAGCGTCTGCTAAATGACAAATGTATAGTGAATAGGGTGCCATTTGGGACTCAATCCAGGATTTCTATAGCCTAGAGCTGTGCATTTTGGGAAAGAGGGTTGTGTGCAGACCACCTAAATCTCTGTCTCTCTGGAGTACCATTCTAATGACACAGTCACAGACACGCTGCCAAAAACATTATTGAGGAGACGTTCAATCTGGTTTTGGAAATGTACAATAGGAAAGGGGGTTTCAAACTGGGGTCAGCGGCCATTCAGGGCAAATGCCCATTTGATTTTGTTATTATGTTTGAGCAGAGGAACACAGCATTAGCCATGGCAAAATGCATAGAATTGTAGGAAATTAACATATTCTTTATTTTGATGTAGCTATAACATTTTCAGACATTCTTATCCAGAGTGACTTAGTTCGTGCATTAATCTTAAGATAGCTAGGTGGGACAACCACATGTCTGTCATAGTAAGTATATTTTTCCTCAAAGTAGCAATCAGCAAAGTCAGTGCTAGTAGAAAAAATGAAAAAATAGTGAAAGGCAAGATTGTAAAAAAAAATGTATGCAGTGAACTGGGATTTATGTAGGTATGTTTTTAGACGCACAGATCTGAATAGACTACATAGTTTCAACCTCTGGCAGACAGAATAAATATGATATTAAGATGAGGGTTGATAAAACCTGCACCCCCTTCCGTCCACATGTTTTGGAAGATTTACAAAGCCATTATCTATCACGCTGAGAATGCTGCAAATTTCCTCAATATCAAATAACCTCATAATAATAACCTCTGTTAATATTATTTTAGGTTCACAAATATAGCCTATCATTACAAAACTGTGTTATTCAAAGTCTTAGCTATGCGCTATCGTCATACTTACACCCTCTCTTCCTCTTTCCTGTCTGCAGAGTTCTTCCGCGAGTTACTGGACAACGCGGAGCGCTCGCTCAACGACATGTTCGTGCGCACATACGGCAAGATGTACGTGCAGAACGCCGAGCTATTCAAGCATTTCTTCCAGGAGCTGAAGCGCTACTACGTATCGGGCAGCGGGGCGGTCAACCTGGACTCCATGCTGTCTGACTTCTGGGAAGACCTCCTGGAGAGGATGTTCCGATTGGTCAACGTCCAGTACGAGTTCAGCGACGCCTACATGGAGTGCGTCAGCCGGCACACCGAGCAGCTAAAACCGTTTGGCGACGTGCCACGCAAGCTCCGCCTCCAGCTGACACGGGCCTTCGTGGCGGCGCGCACCTTTACCCGCGGCCTGGCGCTCATGCCCGAGGTGGTCAACAAAGTCTCCACGGTAAGAGGAGGAGAAAGAGAGAGAGAGAGAGAGGGATGTTGATAGAATTACATATGCAGTGCTTTCAGAAGGTATTCACACCCCTTGACTTTTTCAACATTTTGTTGTGTTACCGCCTGACTTTAAAATTGATTAAATTGAGATTGTGTCACTGATCTACACACAATACCCCATAATGTCAAAGTGGAATAATGTTTTTAGAAATTTACAAATTAATTAAAAATGAAAAGCTGAAATGTCTTGAGTTAAATAAGTATTCAACTCTTTTTATGACAAGCCTAAATAAGTTCAGGAGTAAACATTTGCTTAACAAGTCACATAATAAGTTGCATGGACTCACTCTGTGTGCAATAATAGTGTTTAACATGATTTTTGAATAACATCTCTGTACCCCACATATACAATTATCTGTAAGGTCCCTCAGTCGAGCAGTGAATTTCGAACAGATTCAACCACAAAGACCAGGGAGGTTTTCCAATGCCTCGCAAAGAAGGGCACCTATTGGTAGATGTGTGAAAAAAAGCAGACATTGAATTTCCCTTTTAGCATGATGAAGTTATTAATTACGCTTTGGATGGTATATCAATACACCCAGTCACTACAAAGATAAAGGAGTCCTTCCTAACTCAGTTGCTAGAGAGGGAAACCAACAACATTGTAGTTACTCCACAATACTAACCTAATTGACAGAGTGAAAAGGAAGCCTGTACAGAATAAAAATATTCCAAAACAAGCATCCTGTTTGTAATAAGGCACTAAAATAAAACTGCAAAAAATTTTGCAAAGAAAGGAACTTTCTGTCCTGAATACAAAGCGTTATGTTTGGGGCAAATCCAACACATTACTCAGTACCACGCTTCATATTTTCAAGCATGGTGGTGGCTGCATCATGTTATGGGTATGCTTGTCATCGGCATGGACTAGGGAGTTTTTTTAGGTTAAAAAGAAACGGAATGGAGCCAAGCACAGGCTAAATCCTAAAGGGAAACCTGGTTCAGTCTTCCCAACAGACACTGGGAGACAAATTCACCTTTCAGCAGGACAATAACATAAAACACAGGCCAAATATACACTGGAGTTGCAAACCAAGACCACGCTGAATGTTCCTGAGTGGCCTAGTTACAGTTTTGACTTAAATCGGCTTCAAAATCTATGGCAAGACTTGAAAATGGCTGTCTAGCAATGATCAACAACCAACTTGACAGAACTTGAAGAATTTTTAAAATAGTAATGTGCAAATATTGTACAATCCAGGTGTGCAAAGCTCTTAGACTTACCTAGAAAGACTCACAGGTGTAATCGCTACCAAAGGTGCTTCTACACAAGTATTGACTCAGGTGAATACTTATGAGATTTCTGCATTTCATTATCAATACATTTGCTACACTTTCTAAAAACATGTTTCCACTTTGTCATTATGGGGTATAGTGTGTAGATGGGTGAGAGGAAAAAATTATGTTATCCATTTTGAATTCAAGCTGTAAATCAACAAAATGTGGAATACGTATGAAGACTCTCTGAAGGCCCTGTATATTAGTTGCAGTATAGCATCTCTATGTGATGGGATAAGTTGGTTCAGTGTCACGTAGGGACCAGGGAGGGTGTTGAGAAGTAGCATGAAGTGCCCTTGAAAGCCTCCTGTGTAGAGAGGTCTGGTCTGGCTGTGGTTATCTGTAGCCTAGGTCAGTGTTCCCATGCACTGAACAGCTGGTTTAAACCCCTAAATATACAAACGTTCCCAGAATAACAACCTTCTGTAATGTTTGACCAGGTGTGGGGAGTTCAGGTGAACATTTCTTCCTCACCCTCGTGTGTTTTCTAACCTCTGTGGGCCCTGGTCAAAACTATTTCACTATGTAGGAAATCAGGTGACAGTTTGGGACACTGTTTGTCTGAATGAGAGTTCAAGATTCCGTAATAGTGCTGTGCTGTTTTGTTGTCTGTGGGTGTGTGTCTGTGGGGGTGTGTCTGTATGAATGAGTGTGTGAAGAGAGGGCAAGGAGCAAAACTACAGTGGCATGACAGGTTTATAGCAGTTTTGGCAGTGACTCATTCATGATAAGATACTGCACATTGGACTTTCACTATAAATCGCATTGGGATTTGAGTGATAATTTGATATTATCTTGTGTGTATAGTTTTAGTGTCCTGCCTGTCTGTCGGTTTAAGATAAGGATCAGTTCATTCACCTGACTCCTCCCTCCCTCAGGTCAGTGCGTCCCCTAGCTGTGTACGGGCAGCCATGAAGATGATGTACTGTCCCTACTGTTCTGGCCAGGTTGCCCTCAAGCCTTGTCAGAACTACTGTCTCAACGTGATGCGTGGCTGTCTGGCCAACCAGGCCGACCTCGACACCGAGTGGAACAACTTCCTGGGTAAGGGCTTCCATATCCAACAAGGAACAGCTCACTATGCTGTGTGTGTGTTTGGCTTCTGCCACGCTGTCCCTCACTGGGGTGCCACTGGTGCCTGCTACTCCCTCCCTGTGTGGCAGCTTTACTGGGCCTTACTTTGGGCCCCTTGTTAAGTCCTCTTAGGATCAAAACACTTGGACTCTGCTGTGTGCTTCCCCCTGCTGGTAGAAACAGGTGAAATCACCCCATGTTGAAAATGGCTGAAAAAATATTTTAGTGCTTCTTTAATTTCCAGAAGTATTTACTGAGGGTGTGGTTGTTTTCTTTGTGACTAACTGAGTTGTCTGATTCTCAGATGCCATGTTGAGTCTGGCTGAGAGGCTGGAGGGGCCCTTCAACTTTGAGTCTGTCATGGACCCTATTGACGTCAAGATCTCTGAGGCCATCATGAACATGCAGGAGAACAGCATGCAGGTGTCACAGAAGGTCAGTCACTTCCTGTCTTGGTGTGACTGTGTGTGTCTTCTGCATTCCCCAACCTGTGTCTGTCTGGTAGCCTGTGTCGGCCTGTCTGTCTGGTAGCCTGTGTCGGCCTGTCTGTCTGGTAGCCTGTGTCGGCCTGTCTGTCTGGTAACGGTGTCTGCCTGTCTGTCTGGTAACGGTGTCTGTCTGTCTGTACATGCTGCTCACTCTCCTCTCCAGGTGTTTCAGGGGTGTGGTCAGCCTCAGCCAGGTAAAGGCTTCCGGTCCCGTCGCTCAGTCAAGGAGACAGGATTCACCGGTCGCTTCCGTCCCTACAGCCCCGATGCACGGCCCACCACAGCTGCTGGCACCAGCCTGGACAGATTGGTAAGTCTTCGTCAGACATCTGCCCCAACCAGCAGCATCAATACAATAGTTTTTACGTGAGAAGTAAAAGTACAAAGTCTTTCAAATGGACTTGGTATAAATGTGTGAGCTATCTCTGTTTGCATGCCTCCCTCCTTCTACCCAGACGACAGATGTGAAGAAGAAGCTGAAGCATGCTAAGAAGTTCTGGTCCACGCTGCCAGAGACTGTGTGTGTTGGGGAGAGGATCACGTCTGGGGATGACTGTTGGAACGGAACAGCAAAGAGCAGGTTAGTTTGGCAGGTTTTTTTCTCAGGTCTCTCCCTTGACACAGACACCAATCAACATTGTCTGCATCCCAAATGGGACCCTATTCCCTGTTTAGTGCACTACTTTTGACCAGGGCCCGTAGGGATGGAGCCACTCACTCTAAAGGCATAAAGTAAGGTTGCTGCAGAACGAACAGTGTGCTCGGTAGGATCTCCCCATTCACTCACACCCTTCTTCCCTAGGTACGAGTCTGTTGTTATGGGCAACGGATTGGCCAATCAGGTGTCCAACCCGGATGTGGAAGTGGACATCACAAAGCCAGACCTGGTGATTCGCAGTCAGATCGCAGTGTTAAAGGAAATGACTAGCTGGCTGAAGGCCGCCCACAGCGGCAACGACATCTCCATCGACCAAGGTGAGGATGGTAAACCCTAACAGATTAACTGACTGAGGCCCATCGCCCCATGCAGAGCCATTAACCACACCTCTCCAGAGAACTCGACTTCAGCAAGTTTGCGCCATTTTAATAGACGGTGGCTTGACAACGTCACCACAATAATGCGTGCACTACTCCGAGGTAAAAGGCTGTGTGTTGTCTTCTGAACGGTCAGATAGCTAGTAAGAAGCTGTGTTGACGTGTTTTGACTCTTGTCACGTCTATGCTAATATGGCAAAAATATTGCAAGCTAGCTAACCAACAACTGTAACAATTTACAGGTAACTGCCAAAATAAAGGAAACACTTGAGTAAATGAAGGATACAAATTATATTGAAAGCAGGTGCTTCCATACAGGTGTGGAATAACATCCCATCATGCTTAGGTTCATGTATAAAAATGCTGGACAGGCCCAGTTGCCCATTATTTTTGGCTACCATGGCTGGAAGAAGATATCTGTGACTTTGATAGAGGGGTGATTGTTGGGGCATGTTTAGCAGGAGCTTCAGTGACGAAGACTGATCAATATACTGATGTAAACCATATGCCATGGCCGTCTGTCACCAGATCTCAACCCAATTGAACACTTATGGGAGATTCTGGAGCGGTGCCTGAGAGAGTGTTTTCCACCACCATCAACAAAACACCAAATGATGGAATTTCTTGTGTCGCATCCCTCCAATAGAGTTTCAGACTCTTGTAGAATCTATGCCAAGGCGCATTGAAGCTGTTCTGGTTTGTGGTGGCCCAACACCCTATTAAGACACTTTATGTTGGTGCTTACTGGGCAAATGTATTTATGTTTTCATTAAACATTTGCAGACTAAGCCTAAACAAGTTGTCAATAATCCTTTGATTGTAAGCCCACCCTGTCTGTTTTTACCTCTTAGTTGTGCAGTGTGCACGCAATGGTTTTGTTGGTGAACACCCCACCTGTATAAATGAGAAGAATATCTAGGCCAGAATGTATTCAGTTTGATGACTAATGCCTCCCTGTGAGATAAGGAACCTTGGATGACTAATGCCTCCCTGTGAGAGAAGGAACCTTTATATGCCATTTAGAAGACACTTTTATCCAAAGCCACTTAGTCATGCGCGCATAAAGCATTTATGTCTGGGTGGTCCCGGAAAACGAACCCACTATCTTCGCGTTGCAAGCGCCATACTCTACCAACTGAGCTAGAGAGGACCACTACCTTTGGTGTTACCATTCAAAATGTCACAACAGACTTGATCAGTTCACTTTTCATCCCCGAATGCTGTTTCTAGTCCTGAGTTCATGACCCCATCAACCTGCTCTCACTTTTTGCCTCCTGCCATCCTCTCTCTCTCTCTCTCTCTCTCTCTCTCTGTGTTCCAGATGAGGACGGTAGCGGAGGAGAGGAGAGCGGCAGCGGATGTGCCTCTCCGTCCTGTGAGGCAGACCGGGACATCTACTTCTCCACCCCGCCCACCCCCATCAACCCCCGCGTGGTCAAGGTGGTGCACCAGGAAACGACTGGGGGAGTCCGTGTGGCACACGGGAGCATGGCTCTGGCACTCTGTGGGCTCGTCCTGGCCCTGCTCGCCCCCCACTGGAGATAAAACTGCTGAGGGAAGGAAAGGAAGAGGGCGACTGAGAGAAGGGGGAAAAACTGTCAAAGACTTTTAAAAAGACTGCCTTCAGGACCTCGGTCTGCCCGCCATCATGTGGGGGGGTGGGGGGGAGACTGGAGTTATTAATATTATAATAACTTCACTTTTAATTTTGTTTGTTTTTATAAAAATGGACATAAAGTGTACAGCGATACGATTTTCTTCCAAAATGTTCACCACTTTTTTTATTTTTTTATTTTGTCCTGATTAACTGATTGGCCCCTTGAAGCTAGGCTCTCTACCACCACAGCACCAACAGTGTTTTCAGTTCTACCATTTTATCCCATTATTCACATTTTAGTTTTTGTTGGGCGTTTGGGTCTTAGAGTTATCTCAATTGGAACCCGGGATTGTGTGTGTGCCTGTGTATGTCTGAGAGAGCTTTTCATTATAACAATACGCTCTATTCACAAATGCATTTCCCTTATCAAGATAACAACTAAGGAACAATGTAGCAAGTATTCCTGGTTTGCCAGTGTTCCTGGTTTGCCAGTTTGTATTGGTTTGTGTGTGTGTGTGTGTATGAGTGAGCGTGGTTCCTTTTTTTTTTTTTTTGCTATAGTGGTTGTATCTTCAGGCTGGCCAGGGATGAATGTGGACAAGAGAACATTGAAATGGATGTCTTGGTCACATGTTGAAGCTTCAGACTGGCTCTCACAGCTGAAAGTACAAGAGACTGGTAGCTCTGCGGGAAAGCACTGAGAAGTTACAGGGCTGATGGTTTGATAGGAGATGGAACCAGCTGGCGAGGGGTTCTCTGTGCATCCATCACATCGCAAACTACACTCTAAACCAGTCCACTGAGATCATACCTCATGTGTTCTTTGAATCATTATAAACTAGCTGTGTTTAACTGTAACTTGTTGGATGGATGGGGGAAGTCTTGATGTAGGCTACAAGGGAATGCTGGAGACTTGACAGGAGGGGCTCCCCCTCCCTGGCATTCCCTGTATAGAAGGCAGAGCTGACGGGTGTCCTGGGGCAGTGAGTCTGTTCCGAGCAGACTGCACAGTCAGTCTGACATGATAAAATTAGATGATCTTGACAGGGAGTGGCTTGTATGTCCAACATCTTTCAGATATAGCAGAAAAGAGAAACCAAGACACAGTTGAGTGACTTTGTGAATTGAATCGGCGATGAGAGAAATGTGGAGACTGAGTATGATAAAATTGGAACACAGGGTTTTATGTGGAGGTAGTGTTCAAATGTTTTGGTATAAAGATATGTATTAGGTACTACAAGGAATTGTACTGCTAGTTGTAGGAGCTGGTGGTCTGTGTGCACAGATTATGTTTTGGGGTGCTTGTTTGCACCCCATACAGACATTTACCTCTACTTTCATTAGATCTGTCTGACCTTCGTGTCCCTTCTTGCATCCAATATTTTCAACTGTTTGCAACAAAATTTGATATATTCTGTCTCGCATGGAAAATGGAACCTTGTAACTACTTCTTCATGATCATGAAAATAATGTTTTCTGGGACTTCTCAAATCAATTAATTGTATCCATTGTCAGCAAAATTACTTTTGTCTCTCTCCAGACAGACCGGTGTCCCTGAGTTTGTGTTGAATTGGATGACTGACAAGCACAATATGTTTGAATTCACATCACCTAAAAGTTTCACTTCACATTATCCACTGGTTGCTCTTGTACAGTAAATTATTTAATTGCATGTTTCTTTTAAACATTTACAAACATGCATTCAAAAATATCAAAAAATACAGTATTCAGAATGTATTGATATATTGTGTAGATGAAAAGATATTCATAATTTTACAAATTAACAAGGTATTTGTATTGGTTTCAGATTTCCTATTTTACATTAGAATTCTGTAAAGAAAAAAAAATGATTTGCATGTTGCAGTTGTCTGTCAAGTCTTCTAAGGTGATTAGCTGATGTATGGTGGTGATGCCTGGACAGGGCTGTTCGCTCAAGACCCTTTTGTGCCTCTTGTGTCCCCCTGGTGCTGGACAGATTTCTGCACTAAACCCCTAATGCCCCCAAGGATTACGCCTGGCCGGCCGCCAGGACTTGGAAGGAATCCCTGAGGACATTTGGGGATTGGGGACAGGACATTGTGATGTCATACAGCAAAAACATCTATGCAGCCTGTGAAGAGGAAATATCTATGCTGCCCTTCCACACTCAATTGGCAGTCTTTTAATAATGCAGTCCCTATATTGTGCATTGTAGGCTACCACCATCTAGATATTTGCAAAGGGGTTGCGCTGTTTGTGTAATGATGGGAAAGGAAGGTGGTTTCTGTCATCAAATGATTTTTTCCATCTCAATCTCAAATGGCAAATAAATGTTGTGGGGCAGTGATGGCAAATGTCTGCTTGCGGGCCATGGCAGAAGCTATTCCTGTAGGGCACTGCAGCAGGTGTGTTGGTCTAGCTTCTAGTACCATAAGGGTTCTCCTTTTATATGATCTATGGAACAACCTCAGGTGTCTGAAATGGCACCCTATTCCCAACACAGTGCACTGTGGGCCCTGGCCAAAATAAGTGCATTATATAGGGAATGGGGTGTGATTTCAGACGCAACCTGATAGATGGATATATGACGACACACCCCATCTGTCTTCGGCCCACCAGAACAGCATGGAGTCATCTTTATGAGGACTGAGGAGAGTATGGGTGTGTCCCAAATTACACCCATTCCCCTATGGCCCCTGGTCAAAAGTAGTGCACTACATAGGGAATAGGGTGTCATTTGGGACTCATTTACGAGAGACTGAAAATAGTAAAACAAAATATGTAAATGAGCAGCCATTTTAGATGTCTCTGAAAGAGGCTGTAACAATCCATCATGTTTTTACTTCTAAGTATCTCCTAAATGTTATGAGAAAAACAAGATGAGATATATGCTAAATTGTAAAAGAAAAGGCGTCTTAAACAGTTCCTAGTCTTGTTGAAATAAAGACTGCAGATATTTAAATGGTCTTGAATGGTTTCTTTTCAGAATCACTGACATTTACATGATGGTCCTCTAAATACTAGGTAGGTTTACCCTAAAGATGAGCTGTGTTATTAAAAAATATGCATTTCAACAAATGAACCGTTGCAACGAAGAAGCATATGCTCTTTGAAAAATGCTGATATTGTGTCCCACCCCATGTTGACTCCAATGCTTTCTACAGTTGTGTCAAGTTTGCAAGATGTCCTTTGGGTGGTGGACCATTCTTGATACACAAGGGAAACTTGAGCATGAAAAACTCAGCAGCGTTGCAAGTCTTGACACAAACCGGTGCACCTACTACCATACCCTGTTCAAAGGCACAAATATTTTGTCTTGCCCATTCACCCTCTGACTGGCACACATACACAATCCATGTCTCATTTGTCTCAAGGCTTAATCCTTTAACCTGAACAAGTGGCATCAATAAGGGATCATAGATTTCACCTGGTCATTCTATATCATGGAAATAGCAGGTGTTCTTAATGTTTTGTACACAGTGTATGGTTTGTCTGTAGGACTCAAATTAAACCCATTAGACTTTTTATGAGTATTCAATCATGCACATGTCTTTCCGTGTTTAGAGACTACAGGTCCTGTCTACTCCTTCACAAAGGGGTAAATAATATGCCATTTAGCAGACGCTTTTATCCAAAGCGATTTACTGTCACGTGTGCATACATTATTACGTATGGGTGGTCCCGGGGATCGAACCCACTACCCTGGCGTTACAAGCGCCATGCTCTACCAATTGAGCTACAGAGGACCACGGTGAAGCTATGGTGCCTACTGTAACCTGCCGACACCTGTAGGCCTACATTGCATAGAAAAAGGGATAGACTGACTATTAAACAGTTTATTTGAGTATTTGCTTTTTAACCCATTGCACATTGAATAACCCAATGGTATCCGAGTACTGCAGCCTCCAAATTCAGTCAAAATATATTACCCTGCCGAAACCCGGGATCGAACCAGGGACCTTTAGATCTTCAGTCTAACGCTCTCCCAACTGAGCTATTTCGGCGGTACTTCGATGACGACGGGAACGGTTTTTGTACTCGGGAGTCAAGATAATTCCTAAGTACAGTTCTGGCAACTGTATGACATGCTGGTGTTGTATGCATCTACAAAGTCATGAAATCATAATATCAAATCTGGGCCAGCATGGTACAGATACATCTTTATGGATTGGCCAATATATACAGCCATTCATTGATTGGCTCACATCAGAGAACCTCCGCCCATGTATGCAAGTGACGTCATTTCACGAACCCCAGCCAACGCAGGGGATTATGGGAGGAAAGGTTAGGGATAGGGAACATGATGATGGAAGGTGGCTCTAAACACCTAATTGTTGGTGGAAAACACAACATCCTTAACGCTTTTCGGGACATACAAGCAGACTTCTGTGAGAGGTAAATGTTATCACGTTCTGTGAGAGGTAAATGTTATCACGTCTGTAACACAATTATTTCGTGAAACATCAAAAGCGCTCTGTTTGTATGCGAATGTGGTGTGGCTAGCTAACGTTAGCCAGGCTACCGGTTCCGCTAGCCAGCCATAGCTGGCCATTGTTTTTGTTTAGTTAACGAAGTGAAAGCAATATAGCTAGAAAACAGTGTTTTCCCCCAGCCGAGGCAGGGGCCCAGTGGGGCAGACTGCTTGAGTAATGCGGTTTGGTTTCTCTCGGGAAGATGGATGAAAAGTCCACCATCCACCACCGGCTCTTGATTGCCCTGGTGATAATCTTGCTCTTTGGCGTTATTGTGCTTCAGTACGTTTGTCCTAGCTCCGATTGCCAGCTGTTGCACCTAGGATCATTGGCCTCCAACTCGGGCAGCAATGCCATCGGGTCCCAGGGTAAGGGAAACGACATTGGCCTCAGTGGACAGGACCCGTACGTCGCTGAGGACTGTGCCGTAGCCCGTTTTGTTCCCCGCTTCAATTTCACTTCTGCAGACCTCAGTCGACTCGTAGACTTCAATATCCAGGGAGATGATGTTATTGTTTTTCTACACATCCAGAAAACAGGGGGCACAACGTTTGGTCGACATTTAGTGCGTAATATTAAACTCGAGAGGCCTTGTGAGTGTCATGCTGGCCAAAAGAAATGCACCTGTTACCGGCCAGGTAAAAGGGAAAGTTGGCTTTTCTCCCGGTTTTCCACTGGCTGGAGCTGCGGTCTTCACGCGGACTGGACCGAGCTGACCAACTGCGTGCCGTCCCACATGAACACGCGCGAGCCCCCCAAGAAGCCTACAGTTCCCAGGTAAGAGTGTCACTCAGAGAAATTGATTTGAAATGAATTGTGGACAACAATTTCAGTTTGTTCAGTATCTTGTCCCTAAATTGAATGCACATCTCATATTTTATTATGTATGATCATTCAGAGACAAATGCATCCATGCTTCTGTAGGGTTGAAAGGGGATTTCTGGTCTGGTTAGGCCGGGTCAATAGCAAGCACCTCCATTGTGACTATCTCTATTGTGACTCTCTCTGTTCATCATGACCTGCAGAGAGAGGGGTGAGAACTTGGAAGACTGGAGCATATTGAGGATGCGTCCCAAATTACCCCCTATTCCCGTTTATAGTGCACTGGTTTGGATCAGAGGCCCTGTTAAAAAATAGGTCACTTTATAGGGAATAGGGTGCCATTTGTGACTTAGACTAATTGAGACCATTGCATTGGTTATTATTACAGTTATATAACAGAGGTGCTGAATTCAAAACAAATGAACTGACCTAGGTATCTGTCTCTCTGTTCTCTCTCTCTGTTCTGTCTGTCTCTCTATTCTGTCTGTCTCTCTATTCTGTCTGTCTCTCTGTTCTGTCTGTCTGTTCTCTCTATTCTGTCTGTCTGTCTCTCTGTTCTGTCTGTCTGTTCTCTCTATTCTGTCTTACTGTCTGCTGTTCCTCAGCCGGAACTACTACTACATCACCATCCTGCGTGACCCGGTGTGGCGCTACCTGAGCGAGTGGCGGCACGTGCAGCGTGGTGCCACCTGGAAGGCCTCCCTGCATGTGTGTGACGGGCGCGCCCCCACGCTTGCCGAGCTGCCCAGCTGCTACCCCGGGGATGACTGGTCCGGCTGCTCCCTGCAGGACTTCATGGACTGCCCCTACAACCTGGCCAACAACCGGCAGGTCCGCATGCTGGCAGACCTCAGCCTAGTGGGCTGCTACAACGTCTCGGTCATGAGTGAGGATGAGCGCTGGGCTGTGTTATTAGAAAGCGCCAAGCGGAACCTGCGGGGCATGGCCTTCTTTGGCCTGACAGAGTACCAGAGGAAAACCCAGTACCTGTTTGAGAGGACCTTCCGCCTGGCGTTCATCGCCCCCTTCACCCAGCTCAATGGCACACGGGCGGCCAGCGTAGAGGTCGTGCCTGAGACACAGCTCCGGATCCACCAGCTGAACCAATGGGATGAGGAGCTGTACGAGTACGCCCGCGACCTGTTCCTCCAGCGCTTCCAGGTGTCCCGGCAGCAGGAGCGGAAACAGGCCAGAGAGAGGAGGCAGCAGGAGAGGAGGAGGCTCAGAGGGAGGCTGGGGAGGCCGGTGGCCGAGTGGCCCAGCGACAAGCCCCAGTGGACAGAGACCCAGGCTGGGGAGGCAATCACCACCCACCTACGACCACCCTCCCCAGAAAGGAAGCATCAGGAGAGGGGAGGTGGCGAGGCTGTAGAGGCTGAGGTGCAGCTGCCAGACTGGTGGGGTCTGGAGCAGAACAGCACCATGGAGGACTACATGGATAATGTGGAACAGTGGCGGTAGTAGTGAGAGGACCAAGCTGGAGAAAGAGGGAAGGGTTGACTGACTGAGACTTCTTCTTCACGTCCCTTTATGGATTTGAAAGGAAATGACTGGTATTAGAAAAATGTGTTTTTGACCATGCCTACACCAATCCAATGCTATATGTGGGTAGTAGTGAACAAATGCAGACTTCAGGAACAAGGAGATATAGGATGTACACATTCTCAAACCTCAACACTAACAGCGCACAGCTCCCTTTAGCTTGCATCCCAACCTTTAGTCCATGGCCAGTTTTCCATTTAGCAAAACGTGCTTATTTTCCTTGAATGTAATTTGTTTTTGTGTACTTCCCTAACCCACACTGTGGTCATGACATTTCTTAGAGAAAATCCCGGCCCAATTGGCACCCTATTCCCTAATATAGTGCACTACTTTTGACTGGAACCCCGGTCAAAATCTGTGCACTATTTAGAGAATAGGGTGCCATTTGGGACAGGGACACTACCAATACCATGCCCCTCTCAATCCCAGAAGCCTTCTGAGGAAACCTTATGGTTCTCATGCAGAACTGTTGGTTAAATACCAGGTTAAAACATTGTTTCCCCGATAGTCATTTTGATATTGATGTATAAGCTAATATTTGTACCGGGTTTTGTTTCAAAGAGAATAAGCTATGCTTTTTCATTGAGATTTTTGTATTCATATTATTTTGTCATCAATTATGTAGGTAAAGCTGTTGAATGATTTGTCAGATGACATGCAGCTCACAAATGACTGAGAAAGACGAAGTGATGTGCTAAAAAAAAATCTCACTAAATGAGATTTTTTATAATTACCTCAATCAGTAGCACACCTCTGCATTACTCACTTCTTCTTGTCCTATCCTTGTCTCCACTTTTGTATATAAAAGAAAAATAATTCACTGGTGTCATGTCTTGTAACTGATACACCATTTAGAGTGTGTTGGTATGTCCACATCCTTACTACACATGTAGCCCACACACCTGTCTCTGGTTGGTACAAATGTGTGGTCCTCTGTAGCTCAGCTGGTAGAGCACGGCGCTTGTAACGTCAAGGTAGTCCCCGGGACCACCCATACACAAAAATGTATGCACGCATGACTGTAAGTCGCTTTGGATAAAAGCGTCTGCTAAATGGCATATTATTATTATATTATTAATGTGTAGTTGCCAGCCAGGTCACGATTGGACCGTCATCATAATCCAGTGCTGTCCCTTCGTTCCCCTCTGTCTGTTGCTCCAGCAGGTGGTGCCAAATACGTGTCACCACAACTCTCCCCTGAAAATGTAATCTCTATAGTTTCCTGTGAATCTGGTCTAGTCTAAATGTTAATCCCTGTCTGTGTAAATTATAAATATGCCATTTAGCAGACGCTTTTATCCAAAGCGACTTACAGTCATGCGTGCATACATTTTTGTGTATGGGTGGTCCCGGGGATCGAACCCACTACCTTGGCGTTACAAGCGCCGTGCTCTACCAGCTGAGCTACAGAGGACCACAGATAGACCACAGATAGTGACTGTGTGTAAAATATCAACATTAGATAGTGACTGTGTCTAAACTATCAACATTACATAATGACTGTGTTATATTTTGGATTTATTAATTTATGATTGTGCATAGGAGTGACTGGATAGTAATTTTAATGTTGCACATGCTACAATAACACCACAACAATGATCCACAGTGCTCCTCTACCAGCACCATACATAGGTACTAGATTTACAAGTAGGCTTATCCTTAGTTGTGTCTGGCACATTTTTACAGTTGAGTCATTATCATAAATGAAAGAATATTGTGATCTAGAATAGAGGCTGTTAAGACGGTGGCTACCCTGTAATACCATTTAGGACATGAAGCTGTATACCTGAGGTTGTGGCCATGACATACGCTAAAGTAGGTTTACCAAAATGTAAAGGGTAGAGACAAAAGGACTGTACCTGAAGTGACCCATCCAGTTACCGCCCTCTTACCGCGGAAAACAAAGTCTAATAGGATTCCCCTAAAATGGAGGCAATGCGTAATACCAAACAACACTTTTCTCTTGAACTCCTCCCTTCAGCCCTCCCTCGATTTTTACCTCGCCCTCCTCTGGTCTAGCTTGTCTCTGCTTTTTATTTAGCCAGCTACCAAGTTGCGACATTTCACTTCACGCCGCTTCATCGTTTTGTTTCCCCGCATTATTTTTTTGGGATAAATGCACGACGTATCGTTTTTTAAACTGTTATCATAAATGTAAGTGATTTTATTTTTTCATCACTATTAACCTTCGCTCCAAGTATGGCGTATTCAGAATTGGTCAAATAGTTAGCTTATCGTGACATTAAAATTCATTTCGCATGCTGTAATAAGTAAGAAGACAACGTGTTGAAGACAGGATTAGGCTATTTATCAGACCTACCGAGCGTGCACAGGTAAGAACACTAATGCTTGACTGCTGTCGCAGTATACTTTCACCTGGCGTTTTGCCTTATTGATTGCGTATGTAGGTGCGTGTAAATAAACTTGTAACAACCTTGTCACAACACATCTATTCGAAGTTAGTAAATATGTATCACATGGATAGCCAACATTTGAATAAACTGTCTGCCTGTTGTTGGGTAGTTTACAATAGCATGTACAGTCAGTAGGCGAGGTTACGCATAGAATACAGAGTGATGATGTCATAACATTTGACGTCTGACAATTCTTAGGCCTAGTCCAAATGATGATGCATTTAGGCTACTAACAGAATCATTTTCGTTTTTTCAGGGCTGTCTTCTTCAAGACACTCACAGTATGCCACAGTTATTGATTCTGTCACGTCAGTAATACAGGAAGCAAATCTCAACCATTTCTAATGCGGAAATGTTGAATAGTGCTCCTCAGTTTAATTTACAAAAAACTGGAAATGAGTTAGATCTGGTTCTTTCAGCCCGTTCAGCCATTCCAATGGGGGAAATTAATAGAGAAAGAATGGGGTTTTGGGATAAACGCCGAAATAAGGTCTGAGGTTAACAGACGCTTAGGAGATCTTATACGTTTTGTTCTATGAGATAATATCAGTCAGTTTAAATGACCTTTAGGAATTATGAAGCCTTTATGTGCTTGTTTTGATTACATAAATGCTTCAAAATTCACAAAGTCACGTTAGCCGGTGAATATTATCTCATAGAACAAAACGCATAAACTCTCCTAAACCTGTGTTTACCACAGACCTTATTTTCGGCGTTTATCCCAAAAAAAACATTAATTTCTCCATAGGCTTTGGCCAACAAACCATGTGGAGTTAGCCTCCATTAGGAGAAGGGTGCAACTGCAGCCTGCAATTCGGGGCGTTCCTGCATGTGGGCATTCCCCCATCTGCAGGAACCCCTTTTTATACATCTATTGGTCAATCTTTAAGCTATATGACTCCAGTACATAGGCAGGAGGCAGGGGCGCTCCAGTACAGTAGATGGCGGTAATGCAACATAACGTTGGATGGCAACCGCCGAAAAACCCCACAGAAGAAGAAGAGGCTGGGGCGAAAATGGTAGCTAGCTATAGCAAGTGTCCTTCGCCCCCGCCTGTCGGGCACTGTTGTCCTGCAGTTCTGTTAACGACGGCGAGGGCAGGTGTTCGGCAGGCTAGAGTGAAGGACACCGTGGTAGCTTAGCCAACTAGTTTTAAGGAGGACTCCTGTACACAGTAGGCGGGAGGCAGGGGCGACACCATGTGCTAGTTAACTAACTAGCAAGCACACGTGTCGCTAGCACACGGTGTCGCCCCCACCTCTCGCCTGCTGTGTACAGGAGTAGCTAGACACCGGTAGACACGGTGTCGCTAACTAGCAAGCTAGCACACGGGTTTGCTAACTAGCAAGCTAGCAGACGGGTTCGCTAGCTAGCTAGCACAGGGTGTTGCTCCCGCCTGCTGTATTAGCGGGAGGCAGGGGTGACCGGTAGACAGTGTCCTTTGCCCTCGCCTATCGGACACTGTTTTCCCTCAGTTCTGTTAACGACGGTGAGGGCAGGTGTTCGGCAGGCGGGAGCGAAGGACTCTGGTACACAACGGGCTGGGATGAAAAAAACTCAGATAACACTTTTATTTCCCTTTTGACCCACATTCAGAAGTGTCACACAAGCATGAAGATGTCATGCTCGAGGGGGGTCGTTCATGCAGGAACCAATGGGATGCTCGAGGGGGGGCGTTCCTGCAGATACAGGAATGCCCACATGCAGAAAGGCACCGAATTGCGGGCTGCAGTTGCACACTATTGTCTGTTAGTGACTACAAAAATATGCCATTAGGCTACTATTGCTCTCTGTGTGAAATGTCGCACAATTTGTTTCCTGAATAGAAAATTAAGAGCTTGCCGACGACCAATATTGAAACAACGCTTACCACTTCTTCTTGGCCTGTAATTCCACTCCATCCAAGTACATGTCGATCTTTTAAAGAACTACATAATTTATACGTGTATCGAATTGCAAATCACTAGGCCTATTTGAACACTTTTCTTGAATGAAATTGTTCCCCATTCTTGACTGAAGGTTATGTCATAACATTGGTGATGGTGAAGTCTGATCCTAGATCTATAGGTCCTACTCTTGCTCCTGGCTTCGCCTTATTTTAAATGTGCTGGCCTGGGGGACTAGATGGTTCTGGCCTAGGGGACTAGATGGTTCTGGCCTAGGGGACTAGATGGTCCCGGCCTGGGGGACTAGATGGTCCCGGCCTGGGGGACTAGATGGTTCTGGCCTAGGGGACTAGATGGTCCCGGCCTGGGGGACTAGATGGTTCTGGCCTAGGGGACTAGATGGTTCTGGCCTGGGGGACTAGATAGTCCCGGCCTGGGGGACTAGATGGTCCCGGCCTGGGGGACTAGATGGTGCTGGCCTGGGGGACTAGATGGTTCTGGCCTGTGGGACTAGATGGTCCCGGCCTGGGGGACTAGATGGTCCCGGCCTGGGGGACTAGATGGTGCTGGCCTGGAGGAGTATGAGGAGAGATGGTGCTGGCCTGGGGGACTAGTAGGA